AATCCCGGGAAGAAAACGAAGAGAAAAACACGAACAAACAAACAAACAAACAAACAAACAACCAACCAACCAACCAACCAACCAACCAACCAACCAACCAACCAAACAAACAAACAAACAAACAAACAAACAAACAAACAAACACACACACACACAGAGACAGACAGACAGACAGACAGACAGACAGACACACAAAAAACTAAAACACCCCTCAAAATCCTTAAAATACCACCCAAAAAAAAAACATAAACACCCCCTAACAACCCCTGAAATACATCACCAAAAATGAAAAAATGAACTTAAACACCCCCTAACAACCCCTGAAATACTTCGACGCAACACAAGCCTTTGAAGCCCTGCACCTTGCGGATTCTACGAGTTGGACATGTGGGCTCTTCGAGGTTCGGGGGTTTAGGGGTTTTGGGGTTTTGGGGTTTAGGGTTTTGGGGTTTTGGGGTTTAGGGGTTTAGGGTTTTGGGGTTTTGGGGTTTAGGGTTTTGGGGTTTTGGGGTTTAGGGTTAGGGGTTTGGGGTTTGGGGTTTAGGGTTTGAGGTTTGGGGTTTAGAGTTTAGGGTTCTGGGGCTTGGGGTTTGGGGTTTAGGGTTTGGGGTTTTGAGGTTTAGGGTTAGGGGCCTGGGGTCTGGGGTTTAGGTCTGAAGGTGCATCCCTCACTTCACGGGGCAAATTGGGCTTCTTGGGCCTCTGCGACACGTTTGACCCTAAACCCTAAACCCTAAACCCTAAACCCCAAGTTTTCTAGGGGCTTTCGCGGGTTTCATGATTCTGGGCCCGGAAACAGTCCGTGGTATTTCTTGTGCGCCTGCAGGGTGGCCTGGACGAAGATCTGCTGCTCTCCGGCTGGATCCAGCCCTGGGAGGATCCAAAACAAATAATATGGGGGCTTAATCATCAGAACAGGGTTTTGGGGGTTATCATAGTATAATAAAAAAGGGACCATAAGGGAATACTATTAGTAGTTATTCTGACCCCATACTAGATCCCAGAGTAGTATATGGTACTATTTGGGGGGCGTTTCTACTTTTTGGATCCTCCCAGGGGCCTGGGTGATGGCTTTGGGGGAGCCATCCTTAGAAATTTTAGTTCGTAGGATATAAAGGCTGATATGATGTCATAATTATGATGTCATACCATCTACGATACCTCGATGTGATCTGCTCTTTCGTGCACCCTTACCAGCCCCGGGCTTCTCTTTTGCTTGGTTCATGAGCTTACCTTTGAAGAAGATGTAAAGGTCCCTCTCACATGAACTGGGGGTGTTGGTCATATCTTAACTGCGGTATGAGGGGTACTGGGGGGGCCCGACGCACACTTCCTGACGGAAGGGGCGTTGGGTGTCATGGGATCTGGAATCTAGAGGGGCCGTCAAGGGCAGGTGACCCCCGGTTCGGCCTGCCTTTCATCCTGAGCCAATACAACAAATGGCCTGCCGTTTGGGATCTGAAAAAGTAAGCTATAACACAACAAGAAGCAAACCCATCTTCCTACAAACCCTAAACCCTAAACCCTAAACCCTAAACCCTAAACCCTAAACCCTAAACCCTAAACCCTAAACTACATATCATTGCGGCAGCTTCGCTGCCCAGCACACCCAGACCCACAAACTCCCACCCTCCGGGGACTAAAGGGAGGACCCTTATAAGGGACCTTAGGGTTTCTTTAGGGGTCATTTGGGGGCTACTTAGGTCTTTTGGGACTATATGTGCACATATATATATATATAGATATAGAAGGTACATAATAGTTGTTATATAGGGGAATATGATTAAGGGTCCCTTCTGAACACCCGACGGCACCCGCAAGACTGAGGCCCTACTAACCTGCAGCCCCAAAGCCCGGATCCTTCGCCCCAAGCCGGGTTGCTGCTACTTGTGGGCCGGAACGAAGTTACCACAAAACCGAGAGAACACTAAACCCCAAAACCATAATGCCCTAAAGCCCTACAGACCTAAAACCCTAAAACCCTGAAGCCTAAGGCCCTAAAGCCCCACAAAAATCTGCCGCGGAACTTAGTCACCAGGCGCGTGGGGACCCGGCCCAGCTAGACAAGCAACACGCATGTCCCTGAGGTGCACCTCAGAGGGTACATGGTTGGGGTTTAGGGTTAAGGGTTTAGGGTTTAGGGTTTCGGGTTTAGGGTTTGGGGTTTAGGGTTTAGGGTGTAGGACATGAATGAACAAGCGACATGAAGCCTTCTCATTTCACAGTGCTCTCACTCGCTCGCTTTCTCTTGGCATAAAATTTCTTTAATCAAGATGTGAGTAATCGAGCATATGATTTACTATCTGGGGTTTCTAAAAGTGAGTTTACGTGAACAGATCGTTCGCTCGCTAAAGACCCACTAAACAGATGCATTGTGCAGCATGTTTGAACGGTTGGGAAGGGTTAACATTAACAGAATATGAACGTACCTTGTGAAGGAATTAGTACTACGACAACACTCATTACATTCATGTCATGAGAGCTCCTTTGAAATCAGCACTGGCTTAGGGTATAGGGTTTCGGGTTTTGGCTACAGGGCCTCCAAGCTTTTTTATTATAGGGTTAGGGGCTGTTGTTATAGAGTTCATCGGGCTTATTAAGGTTTCCAGGGCGTGTGGGGCTCGGAGCGTTTTGGTATAGATGGCATAGGGTTGAGTATAGGGCTACAAAAGAGTGTAGGGTCTAGGCTTAGGGTGGTTTAAAGGCTGTAGGGTTTGGGGTGTATCTTGGTAGCCCAGCAACCATATTGCAAAAAGGGTAACCTTGTTTTGGTAACTTGACTTGAACTAAACAAAGGGACACGGGTACCACTGGGCTACCAAAGCATAGGGCCAACAACCACTCCGATCCCCCCCTGGCTTGCACTCTCTAATCCCCTCCCCCCAAGGAGGGTCCAGGAACTGACAAGAAGTCGACTTGAATACAATGTCCGGCTGAGAAATCAACAAAGGAATGCAAGCTAAGATAAGTTCAGGGGCTGAAGCGCAAACCCCCAACTGTGGCCAAGCAGCTTCTTGATGATCTTCGCCGCCGGAAATGGACGGCCTCCTGGCTTTAGGGTTCGTCGGGTGCGCAGAACCTACAAGCCCCCCCCCCCCTGAAGCAACCCTGAACCCTGAACCCTGAAACCCTGAACCCTGAACCCTGAAACCCCGATCCCTGAACCCCGATCCCTGAACCCCGAACCCTGAACCCTGAAACCCTAAACCCCAAACCCCAAACCCTAAACCCTAAACCCTAAACCCCAAACCCTAAACCCTAAACCCTAAACCCTAAACCCTAAACCCCAAACCCCCCCCCCCCCCTCACAAACCCCAAGAGCCCACAAGTGCCCAAGCCTGGCTTCCTGCTCTTCGACCTGCTCGGAAGGCTTCGGCCTCTCCTTCGACGCCGAAGGGATGGGCATCCTTCTTTCCGGCAGGAGTTTGGAGGGCGTTGGGTCTAGTGTTTCGGTTTTAGGGTTTAGGGTTTAGGGTTTAGTGTTTTTCGGGTTTAGGGTTTAGGGTTTAGGGTTTTAGGGTTTAGGGTTTTAGGGTTTGGGTTTTTGGGTTTACAAAGCTGAAGGCGGAGCGTTGGTGGGGCGAATGCTCGACGAACGCGAAGAAAGTTCGACGAATGTCCGCGAATCCTTCCAGCTCTCGACAGAGCTCGAAATAAAAAACATACTTGGAAGAGGGTTAGGGTTTTAGGGTTGCAGGGTTTAGGGTTTTTGGCTGAGGGTTTGGGGGGAAAATATAGTATGGGAATACTATTAGTACTTATCCGACACACACACACACACACATATATATATATATATATACATATATATATATATATGTATATAAAATGTTCGCTGGCGCAACAAACGATGCATGAAAGCCGATGTGGTTTGCTTGGAGCCAAAGAAGCAGGTCACGGAAACCCCAAAACTCGATCGAAGCCTAAACCCTAAACCCTAAACCCTACACCCTAAACCCTAAACCGCCCAAAGCCTAAACCCGAGGGCAAACTAGACACCTATCGCCGCCTTCTTTGTTTTCAGATGTTTCGCAGTCTCGCGCGCACGAATGGCAAACATTTCATGAGATAAGTGGGTTTAGTGCGGTTTCGCGCGCACGAATGGCAAACTTTTCATGAGCTTGGTGGATTTCGTGTGTAGAGGATTTAGGGCTTACGGGGTTAGTCCTTATAGTGCTATTTAAGCCCAAAGCCCCGAAACCCGAAACCCCCTAAACCCCCAAACCCGCTAAAGGTAGAATTTCTCACGAGTAACCTAGGAACAAAAAAAATTGGGGCCCTTTTTGGTTTACAGGGGATTAGAAGGGAACCTAGACTCCCTAAGAAAGGGAATAAGGGCCTACTGTGGGTCCTACAAGGAGGGGCCCCCTTACTATACGAACTGTAGTCAAGGGACTCATAACCTAATTCAGGATCCTTATAACCCTAAACCCTAAACCCTAAACCCCAAACCCTAAACCCTGAACCCTCAACCCTAAACCCTAAACGTCCTGGGCAGGGTGAGGGCTGCCCCCATCCTGGACGAAGATGGCCGCGAAGAGAGTCGCGGGCCTCCGTCCGGGCGCCGGTCGGCCATGGGGTCGTAGTTTCTGACCTTCTCAAGGGTTTGGGCTTAGGGCTTAGGGCTTAGGGCTTAATTGGGGATGTAGGGTTTAGAAACTGTCTGACCCCTGGAACAATCAAACAACCGAAGGATGTAGGTTTCGATTCGGGATCCGATAAGGCTACTGCACCAAGAGGGTCCATTAGGTTTAGACGCGGTCTGTGTTCAAGACTCTACTCTCAGGTTTAAGGTCTATCCTTGATCTGAAGGGGTAGTGGCTTGCTTTTGTTCATCCCTCAGCCCTCCTAAACCCTCCTAAGCCCTCCGAAACCCTAAACACTAAACCCTACACCCTAAACCCTAAACCCTAAACCCTAGACCCTAGACACTAGACCCTAGACCCTAGACCCAAGACCCTAAACCCTAAACCCCAAACCCTACATCCAGGCCTCCGATCTCAGACCAGCCCCCGGATGTCGTGGATGACGATGCGATCAATGCACGCAACATCGCGCCCCACGGACTCTGAATGGTCCTTCCTGGGGTTTAGGGTTTAGGGTTTAGGGTTTAGGGTTTAGGGTTAGGGTTTGGGGAGTTTAGGGTTTAGGGTTTAGGGCTGGGGGAGGGCAAAAGTCTCTCAAACGACTGGAAAGTTTGACGGCTCCAGTGCAGCAGTGACACTGGAAACCTGCATTTCGGCCAACTGAGTTGCATGGACTCTCAATTTAATTGCAGCCTAGAGAAGTTACGGTTTCAGCTACGCACCTTCAACTCTCCTAACCCTTACAGCCTTGCAGCCTTACAGCCTTACAGCCTTACAGCCTTCCTTGCGCAACATGGAGCTCCCATCCCCCCCAAAACTCCACGCAAGAAGAAACACCGAGATGTGTAATAGCCACAGTGCTCATCGTAGCTCTCATCATCTTTGACACACGGCGCAACACTATGAGTTCACAACACGATATAACCGACAGAAAGCGTTGAAGCTCCAAGCGCTAGACATTCAGCCTTCTGTGTGCGGGCACGAGCCCCACACCCAAAGGTTTAGGGCCATTTTGTAGCACTTCTGTGCTCAAGTTCCACGGCAATACTAAATGTGGACCCTTTTCTTGGAGTAGCTTAAAGTAAACCTTGAAACTCCCCAAGCAACCTGTTGTAGTTGTCTGTATCTTTCAAGGAATTAAGGTTTTTGGAGGGGCTTTTGAAGCAAATCCTTGTCTGGGAAATGATACCCAACATGCTTGGACCAGTGTAGCGCCTGTGCAGCCCCGCACCGGCCTCCTAGTTTATGAACGTTTAAGGATTGACTAGCGTTTAGGGCTTAGGGTTTGGGGTTTAGGGTTTAGGGTTTGGGGTTTAGGGTTTAGGGTCTAGGGTTTAGGGCTTCTCCCGCCACGCTGCTCGTAGCGCCAGCGGAAGATGTGGGTCTCCAGCTGAGAACCCGAGAAGGTAAACTTCACCTGGGACAACCCGCCGTGATTTCTAGGTTGCGCAGCAACCGAGATTGGCTGCACTTCGGAAGGTAGTTATACTTAAACTTTTAGCTACCTTATTAAGAAACCCAATAAACCCAAAAAGGCTAAGGATCTAAAGTTACTCTAAAGCATCACAAAGCGAGGAACAAAAGGGGCAAAGCTTTGAGTTCAATTAGGGTGCAAGGCTGCCATCTCTTGGGGGACGAAATGAACCCTAAAAGGGTTTATGGTTCATATACCTTAATCGTAATTATAGTAGGTATGGGGTATATGACCCCAATTTTAGGGTTCATTTGGTCCCAAAGGTAGTGGGTGTGGCTGGCGTTGGCTGTAGTTTTGGAGGCTGCGGGGTCATCATAAGCCTTCTCGGCATCGCGGTTCCAGGTCTTTGGGGTCTTTAGTTTCAGGGACAGTGGGATGACATGAGCACAGCGTCAGATGTCTGGGGCTTGCAACGTTGCTCGATTCGGATAGGGCAAAACCTGAGGGGTTGCAACAGGCCAGGCACGCTCTCAAAATACGACGCCCCAACCCCAACAACCCTAAACCCTACAGCCTAAACCCTAAACCCTAAACCCTAAATCCTAAACCCTGAATCCAAAACTCACTTGAGTTCAACGACTCCAGGTTGCGGGCTTAGGGGAAGCTTACCAGGAGGTTCCATGTGCAGTAGTATCCTTGAAGCATGTACCCGGTACCCCAAAACCCGCTTTAGCATGGCAAACAGATTGACCCCTGTGTGTGTGTGTGTCTGTGTGTGTGTGTGTCTGTCTCTGTGTGTGTGTGTGTGTGTGTGTGTGTGTGTCTGTGTCTGTGTCTGTGTGTGTGTGTGTGTCTGTGTGTCTGTGTCTGTGTCTGTGTCTGTGTGTGTGTGTGTGTGTGTCTGTGTCTGTGTCTGTGTGTGTGTGTCTGTGTCTGTGTCTGTGTCTGTGTCTGTGTCTGTGTCTGTGTCACGTGTCTGTGTCACGTGTCCGTGTCCGTGTCTGTGTCCGTGTCTGTGTCTGTGTCTGTGTCTGTGTCTCTGTCTGTGTCTCTGTCTGTGTCTGTGTGTGTGTGTGTGTGTCTGTGTCTGTGTCTGTGTCTGTGTCTGTGTCTGTGTCTGTGTCTGTGTCTGTGTCTGTGTCTGTGTCTGTGTCTGTGTCTGTGTCTGTGTCTGTGTGTGTTTGTGTGTGTGTGTGTGTGTGTGTTTGTGTGTGTGTGTGTGTGTGCGTGCGTGCGTGCGTGCGTGTGTGTGTGTGTGTGTGTGTGTGTTTGTTTGTTTGTTTGTTTGTGTTTTTCTCTTCGTTTTCTTCCCGGATTTTCGATGTGTAGGAGCTTGTAGCTCCTCCAAACGCCTCATCCGGCGAATTCCTGGGTTTCGGGTTCTGCAAGCCCTACTCAATCCCCAATCCGCTGGGTTTTGGAGTACTAAACTTTAAGACTTTTGTTTTTTTGGTTCTGGGTTCCGCTACTAAACGGTAAACACTTTTATCCAGGATCTACTCCAGGGAAGAGTCTTTATACCGCCAAAACCACACAAGACTTAGACCTCGAACCCGCCTTCTTGGAAGCTCTTTTGACTTGGTAAGTCTACTCAATCTCACGCTGCCCCGTATCTTTGCAGGCGTCCTTTGAATCATCTGTTGGGCGAGTCATTTGGTCCCAATCGAATGAGTGGGATGAGGCGCTAGCTTCGGCAGAGTCCTCATTTGCATTGGCTGCCTTGATTACTAATGACGTGCAAGTTGAGATTGCAGCAAGCAAGCACTGTTTGTTGCCTAAGCGTAAGCGGGATTTGCTTGACGCCGCTGCTTGGATTAGGGAAGTTTTGGTTTGTTTTACAGGGCATTGCGGGGGACTTACCCGTGTTCGCGGAGTCGCCGGTCAAAAGAATCGGTGGCCACAGAGAGTGCCTAAAGTCTGTGACTTCCAGAACTATGACCAATACAAGGCAGCTGTGAAGCAATTTGATGACCAAACCAAGGCGGCCACTGTAAGCAGATATTTGTCGCTCCTGACATCTCAACCTAATCAGGCGAAAGCCTTTCTTTCTTCATGGTTCAAGAAGGACCGTGATTTTGGGTATGCTTTGGCTGAGCCTAACACTGGTGCAGTTTCAGGGGTGCAACAAACTATTTCTGCTATCCAGCATGATTTGCTGGGAAGAGCGGACAATGATTTCTATCAGGATCCAGAATGTGAGCGTGCACTTGAACAGAGTGTTCGCACCATTCACAGGCACAAAGCTGTGCCGAGAGGCATTCCAGGTCTTGCGGATGCCCCTGAAAGCAACACGGCAGTCAACGCAGCCCCTTATTCATGGCAAGAACTTGAGGAAGTGCAACGGTCTTTCCGTCTGCGCAAACAAAGTTATCGATGCGCTCTGGCAGCTGCCAAGACGAGCTGTCCCCCAGCTAAGGCTCTCAATTTGGCTTTGGTTAACTTAGCTAGGGAGTGTGAGTTAACTTCCTCGCTTTGGTGTGAAAGACGCATCACGCCCATTCGCAAGGCTGGGCCTAGAGTAGTCCGAAAGGTCACTAATCTCAGACCAATAAGTGTCGTCTCAGACATGGCTGCAGTTCAAGATGGGCTCTGGCTCGGACGTTGCAAGAAGATCTTAGAGGACTTCACTGGCGCAGCGCAACTGGGGGGCAAGTTTGAGACAGTGGCAATCGTTTTAGCGGTAATACTACACGCACAAATCCGGCACTCACAAGGGCTCCATACATATCTGCTCTTTGCAGACATACAATCCGCCTATGATGCTACGGATCATAATGCAATGCTGCTCGCAGCTTTTCATGCAGGAGTGGTGGGTACAGAGTGGTTGTTACTCTGGGACTTCCTTCACATGGACTCTGCTGTCCTCTCCCTTGGTGGGGTAGTATCAGATGCGATGTCTTTCAGGGCGGGCCTTCCACAAGGCAAGCGCTTTGCTGTTCACATCTTCACGGCTTTCATGAAGCTCCTTCAGCAAATTCTTTCTTCTGTTTGCCAACCCTCCAATTCGGTCCTGCCTAGTTTTGCAGCCGATGCTATTGCAGGGTTGTGGACGACTCTCACGCCTGTCCCAGAACTCTGTCGCCTTGAACCATTAAACGAAGGGCCAGCCATTGTAGCTAGACTTCAAAGGCTGATGTTGCAGGGTTGGGATCAACGCCTGATTCGGCGAGTGGCCATCCATGATCTTGGCCGGTTAAATTCCATCGATGAAAGAGTGCAGATCCTGGAGAACTTGGGCCACTCGCCCCTGGGGCCTCTCCTCTTTATAGACGATGTGGTTGCACCGTTTCCTTCTTGCACCGAGGTCTGCAAGGCGGCAACTGAGGGTTTGGACTTGTTTGCACACACTGTTCGTGCCAAGTTTAATATGGGACCGTCAAAGACTGCCATCATGCCCTGCTATGACGCTCCTGACGTCCCCTTGGTTGACATTGCGTGTGAAACGTATAAGTTGTTAGGGGTCCAGCTTGAACGTGGTCTTTCCTTGGAAATGCGCCTTGCCCATATCTTAAAAGTGGGGAATGCTCTCTTCCAGGAGCTTATGACCATGGCTAAGCAGGCAGGCTTTCCACCCCCGGTTTTGGCAGTTGCCATCACTGAACGGGTCGAACCCGTCATTCTCTACGCCGCCGAGCTCCTGCCCTTGGTCCCCAACGCATACTCACAGCTGAACAGGCTGCAGGCTGACTGGGCGAAACAAATTCTAGCAGGCAAAGCAGGGTCTGCCATACGCGGGCCTCTTGCAGTGGCCACTGTTGGCTGGCATTTTAGGTTGGGCACTAAGGCCAAATTACGAGCTTTGGCTTATTTGGCCAAAATCAGCATTCTACCACAAGATCACCCAGTGTATCGTATGGTGACTATGGCCGAATCCATTCACAATGGTACTTGGTTGCACATGACTCGTGACCTTCTGGAGCAGTGCGGAGGAATTCCGCCTCTGCAGGACTCTGGTGTTTGCACGCTGGAAGAAATGGAACTGGCCAGATCCTGTAAGGCCTTACGGAAAACTTTGCTGCAGCGTTACAAGCGTTTAGTGTTGACTCCTCGCCTTAGTGCCTTGGACCTGACGGAATTCGCAGCTTCCGCCACTAAGGTTTTGGCAGGTCTTAACCTGAGGTACATAGACCTTTGCCCAGTTCGCGCTTGCCAAGGGTGGGATGTATTGTTGGGATGTGTCCCTGATAAGCTGTGGGATTCTGTTGAGCTGTGGAGCTTTACTCGGTTGACGGGACTGTGGCCGCTTCGCCTGTTGCTGGCGACTCCAGGACACGAAGATACGCTTTTGCTGAAGCCGTGTCCCTTCTGTCAGGCCGTAGAAGCTACGTTGCAACACTGTTTGCAAGCTTGTCCGGGCACCTGTGACCTGTTTGGGGCTTCTGGCCTATCCCAGTTTGTCACACGCCGAACGCCTGACTTCATCTCCATCCTCTTCCACTCCACCACATCTATGGAAGTGGACGAACTTAGGATCCGTTATGTGGCTGAGGTCATCAGAATTGGTATTCTGAGACATGTAGATGACGACTGAAAGACTGCTACGCCTTGTGCGTTGCAACGACCTGCCATTGCAAAATGGAGGTACCGCGCAACCCACTTTCCCTCCCTCTCAATTGCCTGTGGGCAGTTTGAGCGAGTTGAAGTGTAAGCGATGTAAGCGATGTGTGTGTGTGTGTGTGTGTGTGTGTGTGTGTGTGTGTGTGGGTGCGTGCGTGCGCGGGTGCGCGTGTGCGCGTGTGCGCGTGTGCGCGTGGGCGCGTGTGCGCGTGCGCGCGTGTGCGCGTGTGCGCGTGTGCGCGTGTGCGCGTGTGCGCGTGTGCGCGTGTGCGCGTGTGCGCGTGTGCGCGTGTGCGCGTGTGCGCGTGTGCGCGTGTGCGCGTGTGCGCGTGTGCGCGTGTGTGCGTGTGTGCGTGTGTGCGTGTGTGCGTGTGTGCGTGTGTGCGTGTGTGCGTGTGTGCGTGTGTGCGTGACCTTTCGTGTTGTGTGTGTGTGTGTGTCTTGTGCGCGTTGTGTGTGTGTGCATTTTTTGCAGAAGATGTTGATGCTGCACCTACGTAGTGCAGAAGACGTTGATGCTGCACCTAGTGCAGAAGATGTTGATGCTGCACATTGTGCAGAAGATGTGGATGCAGCGTTTGCTGATGCCTTATCCCTTCAGGAGAAGGTGTTCTTCTGAGTGGGTGGTTTTGTGTGTGTGTGTGTGTGTGTGTGTGTTGTGTGTGTGTGCTGTGTGTTATGTGTTGTGTTTTGTCTGTTGTGCGGTGTGTTGTGTGTTGTGCGGTGTGCGTTGTGTCTTGTATGTTGTGTGTTTTGTGTCGTGTCTTTTGCGCTCGTGTGTACGTGTAGAGCTTTGGCGTCTCGGGTTCACATTCATTCTCAAGATTATTGCGACTGGTAGTAATTAATTCTATTACCTGCGCAGTCTATTGTGAGTACAATGGGGGGAGGACCATTTTGGGTGTTTGGGGTCGTTGAGAGTCTAGAGTATACACGTGAAGGGCTTTTGCGGAAAGCTACTGGTCAAATCTTCTGCGCTAAAGATTTTTGGGGCGTGGACCTGCCAAATTGAATGCCACGCTGTGGGTACTGGAGTTACAGGTAGGCCTCAAGCAAACCCTCTAGTAGGGAGACTGTTAAGGTACTACAAGAGGTGGTTTAGGGCTTCGGGGTTGTAGGGTTTAGGGTTTAGGGTTTTAGGGTTCAAGGTTCAGGGTTTAGGGTTTAGTGTTTTAGGGTTCAGGGTTTAGGGTTTAGGGTTTAGGGTTTCGGGCTATCTCGGAGCAAGTAATATGCCGCTGTGAACACCAAGCCGCATTTGTCCAAGGGATCTGGCCGGAGGCGGGAAAGCCGCTAATTCGCTGCTCCCTCCCCTGAGGCATGTATTGGGGGTTTAGGGTTTAGGGTTTAGGGTTTAGGGTTTAGGGTTTAGGGTTTAGGGTTTAGGGTTTAGGGGGTCTCCAGAGTGAAGCCGGATGCACTTGTAGGTCTTTCATGGGCGGGCGTTTAGGGTTTAGGGTTTAGGGTTTAGGGCTTAGGGCTTTGGGTTTTGGGTTTAGGGTTTAGGGTAGCCCCAAAATCGAAGAGCATCGGGGCTTAGGGGCCCCTTTAACCCCAAAACCCGAAACCCTGCGCTCCAAACTCTAAACCCTAAACCCTAAACCCTAAACCCTAAACCCTAAACCCTATGAGCCCAGCCCTGGACACGTTCTTGGCCAGGCTCGTCGATGAAGAATCGCAGCTGGTCTGCTCGGCGCTCACCTCGCCGGGTTTTTCCAGGCTGGTGGTGTATTCTAGGCTAAACCCTAAACCCTGAACCCCTAAACCCTAAACCCTAAACCCTAAACCCTAAACCCTAAACCCTAAACCCTAAACCCTAAACCCTAAACCCCAAAACCCCAAACCCTAAACTAAACCCTTCCCCAGAGTCGATATGTCCCAGAGGGTTTTGAGGGTTTGGGGTTCTTGGTCAGGTAAAGAGAGTTTAGGGCCTAGGGTGTTCGGTGTTTAGGGTTTAGGGTGTTTTGGGCTTCCGTTCCACGGGTTTGGGTTCCAAGGTTTAGGCTTCCGGTTGAGGGTTGAGAAGTAACCCTAAACCCTAAACCCTAAACCCTAGGATTCAAGGGTCCCAATGGCTGTCTATCCGGTAGTAGAACTCGATGGCGCCACCACGAGGAGCCGTCGCGACACCTGAGCTGTTACCGGGCTGGAATTGCGGTTTAGGGTTTAGGGTTTAGGGTCCAGGGTCTTAGGGTTTAGGATTTAGGGTTCAGGGTTTAGGGCTTAGGGTCTTGGGTTTAGGGTTTCGGGTTCCGGGAAAGGTTCACGAAATTTCCTGCGCGCACGGGCCCGAACTCAACTCGAACCCAAATTCCCGAACCAAACCCAACACCCCAAACCCTACAGTCCACCCCAAACCTAAACCCTAACCCTAAAGCCCCCAAACATCTCTGAACTTGCCCCCACTCAAACCCCGAAACATTCATGGCCTAGAGAACGCCGGAGTTGATTCCCTGAACAGAGTCCCCCAAACATTTCCTGCCACTTCAGACGTTTCTGGGTGGGGAGGGGGGGGGGGCTATGGGTCGAGGTTGAGAGGGGGGTGGGGGGGACCCGTTCATTCAAAGTTCAAAAGCCCCCTGATAGAGCAGGGTTTAGGGTAACCTCCTAAACCAAAAGCCCTCTACATCTCATAGTCTCAGAAACATAATCTCTTGGAACCCGCAACTCTGACCCAACCGAAGTTAAACCAAAACAAAAGGCAAGCAAGCCGTCTTGGAGCCTTTTGTTGACAGCAAACCCTACACCTTGGGATGTTGCCCCGTTTTACTAACAGCTCCTTGATATCGAGAAAAAAGGGGGGGATACTACAATCCCTAATAAGGACTGTTAGTATACTTAGGGGCTGCATACCCTAGCCCAACAAAGGTCAACCTTTGTTTGACACATAGTAGGAATCGGCATAACCAAAAAGGCTAAAAGTTACCTACCCAGTCCCAACCTGCACCTACAGTTCTCATTAAGGACTGTTAGTATAAGGGGGAACATTCCAACCCTGAACCCTAAACCCAAAAAACCCTAAACCCTACCTTAAATCCCAAACCCTAAATCGCGCCTGACAGGAGCACGTCCAGATGTTGCGAGTCGCGTGGCGCCAGGCCTCGGGTTAACGGTTTAGGGTTTAGGGTGTGGGTAAAGTTTAGGGTTTAGGGTTTAGGGTTTAGGGTTTAGGGTTTAGGGTTTAGGGTTTAGGGTTTAGGGTTTAGGGTTTAGGGTTTGACGAGCGCTTCATGGCACGCTTGGGGCTTCAGGGGCTTTAAGGGGTTTGGGGGATGAGGGTTTAGAGGTTTATGTAGGGTTTAGGGTTTTGGGTTTGGGGTTTAGGGTTTAGGGTTTCGGGTTCAAGGGGCTTAGGCCTAAACACTAAGACGCATTAAAACCCTAGAACCCCCCCCCCCCCCAAAAAAAAAAAAAAAAAAAACTCTATAAAGCCCTGAGGCCTAAACCCCATGAACGTCTCCAAAGCTTGCCCCAAAACCCTGCAAAACTTGAACCCTAAACCCTATAAACCCCGAACCGGGGTCTTAGGGCATCGGCTGGGACTGGCTTTGGCCACCCTTTGGGGGGTTCGGGGGGGGGGGGGGGGGGGGGGCTGGCATTTCATGCAAACAGGTTCCTTCCGCACAAAAATGGTTTAGGGTCTAGGGGCTTAGGGTTTAGGGTTCGGGTTGAGGGTTTAGGGCATTCCAAAACAGCTTAGGGGGCTTCCCTTTGGCTCATGGTTGTAGGTGCAGGTGCGACCAAAACCCCAAAACAACTTGTGCCTTGGGAAGCGCCACTTGCTCCATCCGTTGGGGCGTTTGGTGGTCTACACGCCTAAATTTACCCTAAACCCTAAACCCTAAACCCTAAACCCTAGACCCTAAACCCTAAACCCTAAACCCTATGAAACAAGAAGACGCCGACACTTTTTTAGTCCATTTGTTGGTTATGGTATGTCAAAGGAACTCCGAGAATAGGGCCTCTAAACCCCCAAACCCTCTCTGCCTCAACACTACATCTCTATGCAAAGCAACAGAGTTGCAAATATGGCAATACATGGTGGTGGGGTTCAGGGCTTCGGGTTAACCCTAAACCCTAAACCCTAAACCCTAAACCCTAAGTTCAACCCCCAAGCATTTTGGGCGGCTCCAAGATCGTCGGTACTTTGGAATGGCAGTTAGACCGGAAAAGCCTAAAGTTCAAGGGACTAAAGGAGGGACCCGTATAAGATTCAGGGGCTACTTAGGTAGATAGGGACTATGTAAGGTATATGTAAGGGTTACATAGGGTGTGTGTATATATATAAACATAAGGCAAGAAGACTAAGGGTCCCTTCTAGGGGGTCCCTCCGTATACCTCTTCAAACATGTCCTTTGCCCCGACGCCTCCGCGAAGGCCGCTCTGTAAGATGAAGCCATCCTGACCCCGAGAGTTCTCTCCTGGCGAAGGTTGAGGGTTTGAGGGTTAGGGTTTCGGGTTTAGGGTTTGGGGTTCAGGGTTTCGGGTTCAGGGTTTCGGGTTTAGGGTTTGAGGGTTTAGGGTTTCGGGTTTAGGGTTTCGGGTTTAGGGGAGTTGGAGCGGGTAGTCATATGGCCCCTTTAGAGAGTTACTAGACCCAAGAGTAACCTGGGAAGGAAAAGGGTGCCCTGTTTGGATGAAAGCGGCTTACAAGGGAGCCTAAACTCCAAAAAAACAGGGCAGAAGGGCCTACGCTGGGTCCGAGGTCAAGGGTTTGGGGCTTAAGGCGGTGAGAAGGGCCCAGGGCTTCGGGTTAACCCTAAACCCTAAACCCGAAACCCTAAACCCTAAACCCTAAGGGGCCCTACAGGGTTGAGACTTTGGGGGTGAGGGTGAAGCGTCGAACGAGTCGAGGTCGGCCCACGAAGACCCTCTGAAACATGCTTCCTCGCCATGATCCTCTCAAGCCCACCCAGACCCAAGAGTAGCCTAGGAAGAAAACGGGTGCCCCATTTGGTTTACAGTGCTTACAAGGGAACCTAACCCCCCCCCCCCCCCCACGAAAAAAAGAAGGAATAAGGGCCCACTCTGGGTCCAAGCCGCTCGAGGGAACTACCCGGGAACAGGCTTGCTCTAGTCTCACAAGGTCCAAAGCACATCTTGTATTGCCTGTTGCCCTAAACCCTAAACCCTTAACCCTAAACCCTAAACCCTAAACCCTAAACCCCAAACCCCAAACCCCAAAAACCCAAAACGGAGTCCTTGCAGCCCTGAGGCGCCCTTTACCCAAGAGATGCCCCAAAACCCTCTCAATCCTCTCAAACCGACAAAAACCCCAAAAGCCCTAGAAACCCTAACCCTGTCATCCCTACAAACCCTGCAATCCCTATAGACCCGAAAACCCCTAAACGCTATACAGTAACTGGCTGTACACCCTAAACCCTAAACCCTGAACCCTAACCCTAAACCCGAAACCCTAAAACCAAAACGCTGAACCCGGAACCCTGAACCCCAAACCCGAAACCTCCCTAGGTCCTGCCACCACCACCCAATTCATGAGCCCCCCGGAATTCTCGATGCTCCTCAGATGGCCAGGTGATCTTTACGCCCGTGAAGAAGGGCCCTTAGGCTTAGGGTTTAGGGTTGATAGGGTTTATAGGGTTTGCAGGGTTTGTGGGGTTTATAGGGTTTAGAGGGTTTAGAGGGTTTGTAGGGTTTATAGGGTTTATAGGGTTTATAGGGTTTACCTAAACCCTACATACCCCAAACCCTAAACCCAAAGATGGTTAAGGTTTTTGGCAAAGGGGTTCAATGGTGGAACTTGAGCCCCGTACCCTCTGGGCTGGATGGATACCCTTGTGGACGGTTCTTGCGGAAAGTTCTGGGGTGGACACCCTAAACCCTAAACCCTAAACCTCAAACCCTAAACCCTAAACCCTAAACGGTTTGAGGAGTTTCCGGGCTTCTTGCAGCCAAGCCGCAGGCCCGTGGGCAGCGAGTGGCTGTCTCTGTGCTCCCTGGCAAGGGGCGCTTTGGGTGGAAGGCGGAACGCATGGTCTGTTAGGGTTTAGGGTTTATAGGGTTTAGGTTTAGGGTTTAGGGTTTAGGGTTTCGGGTTTCGGATTTGGGGTGTAGGGTTTAGGGTTTAGGGTTTAGGGTCTGTTCTTTACATCTTGATAGCCCAGGAACCATACGAAAAACACAGGCACCCCTTTTTGGGGTTGGTGACTTGATAGGGGATCCTGGTATAGCCCAGTAACCATAGTAAAATGAAAGGGCATCCCTGTTTTGGGTTGGTTACTTTACGGGGGAACCTTGAACCAAAAAAGGGAAAAGGGTACCACTGGGCTACTCAGACATTGTATGTGTTTCCGAAGATAGGGGTAATTACCCTTTTGGGGGTTCCTTTCATAAGTATGATAGTATCTTGGGGGTATATTCGGGGTACCCCTAGAGCCGTAATTATGGGGGGGTTCAGGCTTGGCCCGCACAACATTTAGCTGCCGAGCAACCCCTGACAAACCTTTTCGAGGCGGGTTATTCAGGGTTCATGGCTTCGGGTTCAGGGCTTCGGGTTCAGGGCTTCGGGGTTTGGAGTTTTAAGGTACATGCCACAGAACCAAAACAGCGGACAACGACCTAACGACCAAAGTCGTAGGCAGCCCCGTAACGAATGTCATGAGGGTGCACATGAGCACCAGTGCGCAGGTTCCGTGAAATAGGCACCTGTTTTAGAGTAGAAGCATCTTTGCGATACCCAAAGGGGAACTGTCATGCATCTTCACACCCACAACCCTAAACTCTAAACCCTAAACCTTAAACTCTAAGCCCTGAAACCCTAATTTATAAAGCCCTAAACCCGAATTCCTTGGAGCTTCGGAGCGTCGCGGCCCTGCCTGTTGAAGGTAATCGTCAGGGACCCTAAACCTTAAACCCTAAAAACCCTAAACCTCAAAGCCCTAAAGTTTAGGGCCTAAACCCATTGCGGCCCTGCCTGTTGAAGGTAATCGTCAGGGACCGGGCGTCGGCGCAGCAGCGGGTTCGGCCAAGCTGCTCCTGCGCGACAATCGATTCTACGCAAGGTCTTACCATTGTCTACCATGCGCTTAAGAGCCCCCCACCCCCCGCCCTCCAAAAAAAAAAAAAACTATATATATATATATACACAAATGAGGAAGAATATTTTCATTTTTGGGGGGGGGGGTTCAGAAGCAATTGTTAGTTTTGTAGTAGGTTTCCAGAAAATCCTGATGTGGCTCTATAGCAAGAACCTATGAAGTAAGTTTCGGGTTCAGTGATGAAAGGTATGCTCCATCCCTCTGCCTCGTAGGGATTAGGGTGTAGGACTACCTTAACCTTCCAGAACCGACTTTGTTGTAGAACCTAGTGTTTCGCAGAGTCTACAGAGCAAGGGTTCGGGAAGGACACGGTACTGATAGCCTGCTAGTTGCTTAAAGATCCCCAACCCCGAAACCGGAAACCCGAAACCCAAGAAACCCGAAACCCGCAACCCGAAACCCGAACCCAACACCCGAAACCCGAAACCCTAAACCCTAAACCCAAACAGCAAAATCTTAGTAATTAGGTGCCAGGCTGCATCTGCCATGGTGCACCGAGGCTCCAGAAGATCCTGCGCCAGCTGTTTGTGTCGTTTAGGGCTTAGGAAATTCGGGCAAACCCTAAGCCCTAAACCCTAAACCCTAAACCCTAAACCCTAAACCCTAAACCCTAAACCCTAAACCCTAAACCTTTAGTGGTTCAGGGTTTAGAGGCTCTGTGCCTTCCTCCGGGCTCCAGAGACTCTGTTTAGCTACTTCGGGATCCAAAGCCGATGCAGAAACCCTACGTTAGGCTAATGATAGGGTTTAGGGTTTAGGGTTTAGGGTTTAGGGTTTAGGGTTTAGGGTTTAGGGTTTAGGGTTTAGGGTGTAGGGTTTAGGGTTTAGGGTTTAGGGTTTAGGGTTTGGGCTTTAGGGTTTAGGGTTTAGGGCTTAGGGTTTAGAGTTTAGGGTTTAGCGGCCTTCATAACTAGAATGGGGTTTTGGCGGGTTACTAAAGTATAATGATAAAGGGACCATAAGGGGAACATTGTTAGTGATTTTTCCGCCCCTATAGTCTTTGGAGCCGTGCGGCTTGGTCGCGCCCATAGTCTGCTGACTCTTATATGACTTGGAGTGAGGCAAGAGACTACATCTGAACCGTGAACCCTCAAACCCCCTAACTTTTCCATTCCGCAATCGTCTCTTAATTGAAGGCTGGCAGAGGTTTCGGCCTCATACTTGGAGGTTCATGGTACTTTTCCATCAATTCTAACTGTACTTATAAATCACTTATCAGCCCCTTAAGTGCCCTAATATGGTCAGAAGTACCGTTATCAGTACAGCTATGATTGGCGTATAAGTACCATGAACCTCCAAGTAGGGCTTCTAGGGTTCAGGCCTTCGGAGGGCTTCAGGTTTCAGCCTGCCCTACTAGGGTCAGCTACCCGTCATTCACTTGGGGGGCTACTTGTTACCCTGAGCCCAAGACTCTAAGCGAGGGCTGCCTGTAAACCTTAAACCATAACACAGTCTTCTGTAACCGGAAAGGAATACGACAAAGACAATGCTGAGGTTTCCAAGGCTATCCCACGTCTCCCCCCATGGCCCAAGAATCTACGACAAAAAGTAGGGGTGGGGCTTAGGATTTAGGGTATAGGGTTTAGGGCTAGCCCAGGAATCGACAGCACCTTCCGAAGTTTTCCAACGCTGCGACTCGTGAGACAGCCCCGAAACTGCATCCAACGGCAAGTCACCTTCTGGCTCGGCTAGAGTCAACCCTACACCCTAAACCCTAAACCCTAAACCCTAAACCCTAAACCCTATAAACCCTAAACCCTAAACCCTAAACCAAACATGCGGCGGGATGACGGGGCTCGTGGAGCTGCCGCTACGGCAGGGCAGTTGCAGACGTTCACGAAAACATCCTCCGCGGCCGGCCACGCCAAGATCTGGCCTGTCAACTTGTAAAAGTGTGTGATCTGAAAATTGAGATTCAACCTGTGAATTGACGAATAGATGCCCTTCCACGCATACATTTCAGCTTCGGAAGGTTCATTCAGATCCACGCCAGTCAAGGAGGCCACAAAGCCTCTGTTGCTAGCCCCAAGATCTGGTGCCGTGCCATCGCCAACGCTGCGACTCGTGAGACAGCCCGGAAACTGCATAACCCTATCTTGGGGTGGGGCGTTGGGGTGATGGGGTGTAAGGTTGAAGGATGCAGGCCCCTAGACTCTAGACCCTGTGTACCATTAGGCCAAGTTACCCCTGAAGCCTCAGCTCCAAATCCTAAACTCTAAACCTAAACCCTAAACCCTAAACCCTAAACCCTAAACCCTAAACTCTAAACCCTGAACCCTGAACCCTGAACCCTGAACCCTGAACCCTGAACCCTAAACCCTAAACCCTAAACCCTAAACCCTAAACCCCAAATCCTAAACCCTAAACCCTACACCCTCAACCCTAAACCCTACCCGAAACCATCCCGAAACGGGGAAGCCACCAGCGCCCGGCCTTGTATCGAGAGGCGCCCGCAACGGCCATGAACCTGGGCGGGCTTGAAGGCTTGGGGGTTCAGGATCTTGCGGTTGAGGGTTTGGGGTATATTATACATATCTATATATCTATATGTATGTATATATATGTATATATAGATATATACATATGTATATGTATATATGTATATATATATGTATGTATGTATGTATGTATGTATGTATGTATGTATGTATGTATGTATGTATGTATGTATGTATGTATGTATGTATGTATGTATGTATATGTAGACATACACTTCGCGGGTGGTCCATTGGGGGCAGGGGCAGCGCGTGCATATCTATGCTATTGCTATAACTATTCATATATGAATATTCTTAAATTTTCAACGGCATTTGTATATAGGATCATATCATATGATGCATTGTATGCATCTAGATGTATGTTGGTCACTTTTTCTAATGAAGGTTTGGGGTTCGGTACGACTCTTCAACCCCTCCCAGAGGCCTATGCCATGCCAAATGGAGCAGACAAGGTCCTGCACACGCATCCCTCGATTGCCAAAATCCTAAGCTTAGTTTAGGGGTTAGAGGGTTTAGGGTTTAGGGTTTAGGGTTTAGGGTTTAGGGGTTTGGGACCTCAACCCCCCCCCCCCTACCCTGGGAGAAACCCCCGATCCGAGAACAGCACTGGTTCACACCGCACTTGGTGTTGGTCCAGATGTGTGTCCGATCCATGCCGCACCCAGTACCTTGAAGCAGCAATGGGTTTAGGGTTTAGAGTTTCGGATGGTTTAGGGATGCTTAGGGTTGGGGATTGAGGATTGAGGGTTGAGGGTTTAGGGTTTGGGGTTTGGGGTTTAAGGTTTGGGATGGCTTAGGATGGTTTCCGGTCTCGGGGTCAGGACTTACAGAACATGGCCTCGAAAACTAAGTGGCTGCCCAACCAAATACTCCCTAATGAGGGTCCGTGGGGGGAGGGGGAGGTTTAGGGTTTAGGGTTTAGGAGTTTAGGGTTTGGGGGTTCAGAGGTACCTTAAGCTATTAGGGGGTTTCGGCCGGGTGTGACCTTAAACCCCTTAACCTAAAGCCCTAAACCTTCAACCCTAGCTAAGCTTTGGGCCGTAGGAATGTCGGGTGTGCCCCAGAAGGGGTTCGAGCTTGCAACCCTGTGAATTTCGCCTTGTTAGGGCTCAGTGTTCAGGGATGAACGTTTAGGGTTTAGGGATTTAGGACTGAGGAATTTCGGACCGTAACCCTAAACCGCCCTATGCAGCCTCACATCTGAAATCTCAGGATGAGGCCTCAGTCCCTGAAATGCAGAAAGCCCTAAATCCTAAACCCTAAACCCTAAACCCTAAACCCTAAACCCTAAACCGCGGCCCTAGCTGCAGCACCCCAAACCATGAGCCCTAAGCTTCGCTAAGCCCTGAACCCTGAAGTGCAGGGTTTGGGCTTTAAAGTTTGGGGTTTAGGGTTTAGGGGTTTAGGGGTTTAGGGGTTTAGGGGTTTAGGGGTTTAGGGGTTTAGGGGTTTAGGGGTTTAGGGGTTTAGGGGTTTAGGGGTTTAGGGGTTTAGGGGTTTAGGGGTTTAGGGGTTTAGGGGTTTAGGGGTTTAGGGGTCTAGGGGTTTAGGGGTTTAGGGGTTTAGGGGTCTAGGGGTTTAGGGTCTAGGGGTTTAGGGGTTTAGGGGTTTAGGGGTTTAGGGTCTAGGGGTTTAGGGGTTTAGGGTTTAAGGAATTTTGGGGTGCAGGGCCTGTAAACCCCTACAACCCCTTAACCCGAAGGCCCTACAGCCCCAAGCCTAAACCCTCCCCAAAACCAATGAAAACCCTAAAGCTCTTCAAGCCCATAGGCCCCGTAAAGCCTCAAAGCCTAAAGACCTTAAAACCCTCTAAGAACCCTAAACCCGAAACCGGTTCAGGCATGCAGGTTCTTCAGGGGTGTAAGGAGGGAGCCCTAGAAGGTACCCTTAATCTGATTCCCCTGTTTAACGCCTGTCTATACCTTATGTAGCCCCTTTGTACCTAAGTAGCCGCTGAACAAGCCCCAAAGAACCCCTAAGGTCCCTTGTAAGGGTCCCCCCCCCTTTTAGTGCCTTGAGGTCCGGATCTCTTGGCCCACTAATTCACACACCGTGGTGCCCGCGGCTTCGTCCTCTTCCAGCTCCTCGCGTTGTTTTGTTTAATGTGCGTTTACAGGGGGGGAAACTAAGCACCCCAAAAGGTTCAAGCTTTATATGAATGACTAATCAGGGGTAAGGTGTGGGATCTTTAGAGTCTAGGGTTGATTTTAAGACGCCCCACACCCCACACCTCAAGTCCAAGGGAGCCGTCCTGCGGGGGATATTGGGCTTGGGACACAGGGCCCTGAACCCTAAACCCTAAACCCTAAACCCTAAACCCTAAACCCTAAACCCCTAAACCCTAAACCCTAAACCCTAAACTTGGCCCTGGACCATGTTGTAAACACTAAGCCCGCACCCTAAGACCCTCAATCCGAGACCGCACAAGTCGCGCGCGCCCCGACACCACAACGCCCTAAACCCTAAACCCTAAACCCTAAACCCTAAACCCTAAACCCTAAACCCTAAACCCTAAACCCTAAACGCGGCCCGACACCACAACAGCAGCTTGCTTTAACCCAGCCTTGCCAAGGTCTTCCCAACCCTCTGAAAGAGATTCCTACCATAGGGGGGTCCGAAGAGCTGACCCACCTAGTCCCTAACAACTAGCCCTAAACCCTAAACCCTAAACCCTAAACCCCCCCCAAAACCCAAAACCCCGAAACTCTGGCTCCTTCTGGGTGCAGAGCCTCGCCCCAACCTCCTGGAAGCAGATGCTGGGTAAGGGTGTTGGGCTTATAGCTAGTTAGGGTTTAGCGTTTTGGGGGGTTTTGGGGTTTGGGGTTTGGGGTTTGTGGTTTGGGGTGTTGGGGTTTTGGGGTTTGTGGTTTCGGGTTTGGGGTTTCGGGGTTAGAATGCAAGGCGGTAGAATATACCACCGGCGCATAGGGGATAAGCTACTGCGGCAGTCCAAATCCTGGCGAGTTCCTCACCCGTAAGCCGCCCAAACCCCAAACCCCAAGCCACAAACTGCAAAGCAAAAATAGGTTTTTACGAACAAAAGGAACCCCGAAACTGGACTGATAGCTTAAGGACCCCAAGAGGGTACCCCTCATTTCGGAAACCCCCCAGTAGATCCTAAGAACCCTATAACCCTAAACCCTAAACCCCAAACCCTAAACCCTAAACCCCAAACCCCAAACCCCAAACCCTAAAACCTAAACCCGAAACCCTAAACCCTAAACCCTACTCGAGCTAGGATGGCCTTCAAAGCCCCGCGCAACCCTCAGATGAAGCGACGGACTCTGAAGACTTGCTGGTAGGGTTTAGGGTTTAGGGTTTAGGGTTTAGGGTTTAGGGTTTAGGGTTTAGGGTTTAGGGTTTAGGGTTTAGGGTTTAGGGTTTAGGGTTTAGGGTTTGGGGTTTAGGGTTTAGGGTTTAGGGTTTAGGGCTTAAAAAGGAGCAGGTATCCTGAACCCAAACCCCTCAACCCCTAAATCCTGAATTCCTGCTCAAACCTAAACCCGAAACCCCAAACCCTACACCCCTGAATCCTGAATAGCCCTAAACCCTAAACCCCTGAACCCCTAAACCCTAAACCCTAAACCCCTCAACCCCTCAACCCCTAAACCCCTAAACCCTAAACCCCACACACCCACACCCCCCGAAACCCCGAAACCCCTCCGGCCTTGCAGCTGCGCTGCGCTTCGCTCCAGGCGACTTGGCCGCTGCAGCCTGCAAAAAGGAGGGTTTAGGGGTCTGGGGTTGAGGGTTTAGGGTTTGGGTTTAGGGTTTGGTGTTTAGGGTTTAGGGTTTAGGGTTTGGGGTTTAGGGTTTGGGGTTTTCTGTGTGGTGTTTAGGGTTTGGGGTTTAGAGTCTGGGGTTTAGGGTTTGGTGTTTAGGGTTTAGGGTTTAGGGTTTAGGGTTTGGGCTTTTGGGTTTGGGGTTTGGGGTTTCGGGTTTGGTGTTTAGGGTTTATGGTCTGGGGTTTAGGGTTTGGGGTTTAGGGTTTTGGGGTTTAGGGTCTGGGGTTTAGGGTTCGGGGCTTGGGGTTTGGGGTTTAGGACTTAGGGTTTGGGGTCTAGGGTTTGGGGTCTAGGGTTCGCGGCTTGGGGTTTGGGGTTTAGGGTTTAAGGTTTAGGGGGTCTCCACAAGGATTCTGGGTAAGCTGCCGCAAGCCCCCTCCACAAGGCGTGCGGGGTTCTCAAAGGATGTCAAGAGCTGCAAACAGAGAGCTGCCTGTTCCAAAACCCGACAGCCCCAAAGCCGCAAGGCACAACAATAGTCTCAAAGTCCAAAAGCAAGCCAGCAGCCCAGAAGGGTTTAGGTTTAGGGCTTTTGCTTTAAGGTTCCATGGACAACCACCCCCCTCAGAGCTCTTAAGGTAATTTGAACCCCGCCCGGCTTGTGGCAGGGGCACACATGTCCGGGAAAAGAGTCACCATTTTCTCCGGCACATTCTTCGGCGGAGGACGCACCTGCTCAGATGCATCATCACCCGTACTGCCGGTACCTTGGACCCATTGGACTCTTGCCCTCTCCTTTCTTCCGTTTCTCACCTTCACGCAAGTGAAAGGCGTGAGAGGCATTGGAGCCCCCCACACCGATATATCACTCTTGCATTTCTCACATCGAGGCATCTGCTTCTCCGTCCATCCCAGTCCATGGGCTCGTTCTCTGCGAAACAGCCACTTACACGTTTTGCACCAGTATGGTGCCTCCATACCAACCGTCGTCGGTACCTGCTGAGCTTCGACATTTGCCTAGGGGGGCTTTAGGCCTAACCCAGAATCCTTGTGGAGACCCCCTAAACCCGAAGCCCTAAACCCTAAACCCTAAACCCTATGGGAACCTTTAGGGCCCTCTTTAGGAGTTTGCTTGAGAACGGAGAGCAGGGAGGGACGCGATGGAATCTGTGGACCGTTGGGGTTTAGGGTTTAGGGTTGAAGGTATAGAGTTGAATTAGGGTTTAGGGTTTAGGGTTTTGGGTTTGGGGTTTGGGGCTAGACCCAGGAGGAAGCTAGGAATAAAGAGGATGCCCGTTTGTTGTTGAAGGGATTATAAGGGTACCCAACCTTAAACTCAGGAAGTAAGGGCCTACTCCGGGTCCTAGCCACCAGCTTGGGCTGCTCGACCTGCTTCGGTTTAGGGTTTAGGGTTTAGTGTTTAGGGTAAGTTCATCTAAGCAGCATCGGCTGATGAGCACTATGTCTTCATCAACGTTGCTGTCGGCCACTGGGTGCCATTTATGATGATCCAGGTCATCCGGCTTTCAGGATCACATGATTCATATGCACATAACCCTGAACCCCTAAACCCTAAACCCTAAACCAACCCTAAACCCTAAACCCCAATTAAACCCTGAACCCTGACTTTGAAACTACCAATCAACCTTGACCCCCTGAAGCCCCTTCGTTCGGATGCCTTTGAGGGGGCTGGCGCTGGAGGTTGAGCACACCATGCCGTCGTCGTTGTACCGCGAGCCTGCGTTCGTGCCGGGTATCTGTCCCCCTTCCCCCGCGGCCCCCCACAACTAAAATTCTGACACAAGGAACCGAAAAAGGGCCCCCGCCCCCCACCTCCCCTTTTCAAAATTCCCTGAGACGAACATTCAGTCTCCTTGGTTTGGGTGGTAAACCCCCTGAGTCAAAGCCCTAAACCCTAAGCCCCATAGACGTTGTCAGCCCTATCAACCCACATTCGGGTTTCGCGTTTATAGAATTTGTTGGCAGCCCCCCCCCCCCACCCCCCACCCCCACCCCAAGACCAAACCTGCCATACTTGCCCAGCAGCAAGGCGGAAACAACTGGGTTAGGGTTTGGGTTTAGGGTTTAGGGTTTAGGGTTTAGGGTTTAGGGTTTAGGGTTTAGGGTTTAGGGTTTAGGGTTTAGGGTTTAGGGTTTAGGGTTTAGGGTTTAGGGTTTAGGGTTTAGGGTTTAGGGTTTAGGGTTTAGGGTTTAGGGTTTAGGGTTTAGGGTGTAGGGTTTAGGGTGTAGGGTGTAGGGTTTAGGGTTTAGGGTTTAGGGTTTAGGGTTTAGGGTTTAGGGTTTAGGGTTTAGGGCTTAGGGTTTAGGATTTAGGGCTTAGGGTTTAGGATTTAGGGTGTGATTCCCGCAACATCGCAGGGAAGCCCCTCGAAAAGAAAGGTGTAAAGTTCAACGGTTGGCTCCCTAGAGCTCCTTCCGCATTAGGGTTTAGGGTTTAGGGTTTAGGGTTTAGGGTTTAGGGTTTAGGGTTCAGCGTGTAGGATTGAGCTTAACTTAGTAAAAAGCTGCCGGTCCTGCTCTATGCTCACACCACTTCGTGTCAATAAGACTGGTAGAGCCGCGCATGACGATGGATGACAGCCTCTCTAGCTCCAGAGAACGCTCCATCAGAGAGAACGGCATCAGGCGTTTTATCACCTTGTGATGTGTGTCTGACCGGCGTTGGGACATTGTCCCGCACGCATCCTCATGCGCATTCTGGCGGCGCAGTTTCACTCCTTCTCAAGGACCATGTAGTGCAGCTCTGATTCCAGTTCTCGGTTGAGCACGTAGGTCCTACTGGACCTCTTCAACGTCATACCATTCTCAAAGATGTCACCGCGCGCCCTCAATCCTGGACCCGAAGCGCCCTTAATTAACCATGAAAACCTGCAACCCTAAACACCCTAAACCGTTAAACCTCAAACCCTAAATCCCAAACCCTAAACCCTAAACCCCAAACCCTAAACCCTAAACCCTGCTCTGTTGGGGTCCCCGGCGGGTGTGCCAGTTCAACTCTGCACAGGTCAGTTCGGAACGCACCTGCGCTTCTCAGACGACTTCTTCGGGCATCGGGGGTTTGGGGTTTAGGGTTTCGGGGTTTAGGGTTTAGGGTCTAGGAGTCTAGGGCTTTCGGTTTGGGGTTTAGGGTTTAGCGTTTGGGCTTTCTTGTGAGGTGGGGGTCGGGAGGGTGGGTAAGCTTGTGTGGTCCAGAGCTAGTCACCCTGAACCCGAAACCCGCACCCTAAACCCTAAACCCTAAACCTGAAACCCTTTGGGCCCGGGGCCCGGAGATCAGAAAGCCTTTCAAGAAGACTCCTTGGAGGCCAGGGTTTAGGGTTTTTAGGGTTTTAGGGGGTAGGGTTTAGGGTTTAGGGTTTAGGGTTAGGGTTTAGGGTTTAGGGTTTAGGGTTCAGGGTTCAGGGTTTAGGGTTTAGGGTTTAGGGTTTGGGGTTTGGGCTTAGGGCTTCGGGTTTCCTACCTACAAGCCTCCACGTGATGCTTCTCCTGCTTGCATGAGGCGGCGCAGTAGCCTGAGTAGAGGAGAAGTTGCGGTTTACGATATAAAGAGTACCCTTAGTAGCCCAGTAACCATATAAAAAGAAGGGCACCCTTTTTTGGGTTGGTTACTATATGGAAAAGGGTACCACTGGGCTACCAAGTACCTTATTGGGGTCCTTCTTATAAGGAGATCCTACTATTTGGGGTCTGTATTAGGGGTCCCTTATTTCTTCGTAAACCCCAGCTCAATCTTTTCCTGCAACAAGAGACACGCACAGCTCGTTCTGTGCGAATGAGAACCCTAAACCCCAAACCCCAAACCCTAAACCCTAAACCCCAAACCCTTTCTTGTGAGCCTACTTACTCTCAAAGAGGTTTGCCCATAGACTTCACCTTCGATCCATGAAAGAAGCCTTCCAAAAAGCAATAACATAGGGGTCGAAATATAACTCCGAATTGATAGTATTCCCTTGCGGTTCCTTTATAAGTATACTAGAATACCCCCCCCCCCCCCCAAACAAAAAAACAAAAAAAACTATTCCAATCATTCAGGCCCCTATACTAGGCGGGCCCCTCGAGCCTTAGGGTTTCAGGGTTTCCCCGCCAGCCCTTCTCCTTACTTCATTGGATCTACAAGGAAGTTTGGAGACCCTAAACCCTACACCCTAAACCCTAAACCCTAAACCCGGAACCCTGAACCCTGAACCCTAAACCCTGAACCCTAAACCCCCTAAACCCTAAACCCTGCACTGCAAGCACAGTGGCCCCACTGGGACTTGTTCACCATGGTGTAGCACCACCTGCACCAAGATTTCGGGGTAACACCCAACCCTAAACCCTAAACCCTAAACCCTAAACCCTAAACCCTAAACCCTAAACCTTAAACCCTAAACCCTAAACCCTAAACCCTAAACCCTAAACCCTTAGTGCCTCGAACCCCTCCGTGCCCTTGAGCACGGTTTAGGGTTTAGGGTTTCAGGTTCAGGGCTTATAGGGGTGTAGGGATTCTTATTCCTTCATAAGGCCCAAATAAGGTCTTGGTTTCGGGTTTCGGGGTCCTTCACAGAAGCCTGAAAAAGAGCATATTGAGGCCCCGAACACCCCCTAAACCCTGAACCCTGAAACCCTAAACCCTAAACCCTAAACCCTAAACCCTAACCCTAAACCCTAAACCCTAAACCCTAAACCCTAATCCCTAAACTCCGGTTCCTTATGGAAGTCAGGCCGCTTGCGCCCGCTGTCCCCCTTCTGGCAGTCCAGCAAGCAGGGGCTGCCTCAGGTTTGCGATAGCTTGCCTTCCTGAACCCGAAAAGAGTTTAGGGTTTCGAGTAACCCGACACTTTAAACCCTAAATCCTAGAAAGGCCCGTTGAAATATATTGAAAAAAGTTGAACCTCTGAAACACAAAAGGGGACATATAACAGCCTACACGATCCCAAGCCCTAATCCCTGATTCCGCAAACCATCCAAGCCCAAAGCTTCTCTTTGGGAGTCTTCAGAGTGCGATTATGGAGGGGCGAGAGCTGCAGACCTCACAAAACCAATCCAAAAGAAGAATCCGAAGCTCAAGCGGCGCCCTGTTTTGGTGTCAAGATCTACGAACCCCTACCTAGTCCTGCTAAGCCTACTACTCTACCTTTACATGCTGCCTGCAAATCCTAAATCGACTGCATTGGAGCGCCCGAAGCCTCCCCGACCACCAAAAAAGGGCTTTTGGGCGGGGTTCAGGGGTTCAGTGCCCTAAACCCTAAACCCTAAACCCTAAACCCTAAACCCTAAACCCTAAACCCTAAAAGGAAGGGATGACGGAAGTTCTGCGCTTAGGGTTTCGGCGTGAGGAGCCTTCTGAATTGTCGCGAAATGAGCTACATCCAGACTACGGAAGCTTCCCTCATACTGAAAAGTTGGGGTTTAGGGTTTAGGGTTTAGGGTTTAGGGTGTAGGGCGTCACCTTCATCCAGCCCCCCCCCCCCCCCCCCCCCCCCTGCCCCCTCAAGACAAAATGGGCTGCTAGAAGTGCTACTGAGCCATACAAGTCCAAGGACTACCAGACCCCGAAGCCCTCAAGCTTCGTCGACGTACAACCCCCTGGTTCTTCGCAGGGACTGAGGGAATGAACTAGGGCCCTAATTATATCTACCCCTTCAAACCCTTTGAGGGATTACATGGAGTACCTCATTCCCTCATTCCCTACGAAGAACCAGCCAGTTAACATACGAAGATACCCGCCGGCGCGGTTGCACCATCGCCACCCTGCGCAAGGCTGAAGGTGCGATGCAAGGACATCCTGGAACCTAAGCCCTAAACCCTGAATCCTAAATCGACCCTAAACCCTATACCCTAAACCCTAAACCCTGAATCCCAGGAATCCCAAACCCTAAACCGTAAACCCCAAACCCTAACCCTAGACCCTAACCCTAAACCCTAAACCCTTGTCCAGGACATTTCGCAGCTCCACCGTCGCTGCTAGCTCTTCTCTACAGCGTGGCGGAGTTCATGCGACAGCTGTACTTCCAGCAACATGGAGTTTAGGTTTAGGGTTTAGGGTTTAGGGTTTAGGGTTTAGGGTTTAGGGTTTAGGGTTTAGGGTTTAGGGTTTAGGGGTCTCAGGGCTCTGTATTTGGATTTTGGGGGTAGTCCGATGGTTACCCCCCTGCTCTCCCCCCCAACGCCAGACATGCAGGTTCCAGAACCCCGAAGGCGCTGAGAGATTAGGGTTTAGGGTTTAGGGTTTAGGGTTTAGGGTTGCGTTTTTTTGGGGTTTAGAGTAACTTGGGTGAACAGCAACCTAGGAACGGACCAGGAACGCGTTTTGGCGAAACAGGCTACCTCCAAAGAAGAGGGAGACAAGGTTCCACCGAAGGTCACACGCAAAAGCAACCCTAAACCCAAAACCCAAAACCTAACCCTCAACCCAAGACCCTGAACCAAGCCCGCAGCAGCTCAGACAATCGTGCCTCGGATGTGCAGCCCACCGTGAAGAACAGTGGCTGGTCCTTGGCAGATCTGTACTTAGATGTATATGAAGTAGGGTTCATATTACTTGTATCTTTCAAAGGACACCCCATACATACACTCACCAATATGCAAAGGGAACCTTATATCTTAGTAGCCCAGAAACCATATTATACTAAGGGCACCCTTTTTTTGGTTGTTTACTGTATAAGGGACCCAGAACCACAAAAGGGTAAAGGGTACCACCGGGCTACCAAGATACACACTCACCAATAACAATAGTATAAATTTAAACCCTGTTTCATATCAATGTGCGTATGTACGTCTATATTTGTAATTGTATCCATGAGTCCACTGAAGAACTGTACTTGCTACCACTGCGACCAGATTGAGGCACCTCCATTTCGAAGGCCCTGAATACGGGCGCAGGCGTGCAACCCGCACACATCCTTCTCATCCCTCAGGCCCTCTCATCTCTCTCACCTTGCCATCTCCAAAGTCGTAGACCCACTTTGCCATGGCGAAAACAAAAACAAGCAGCTCAGCTCGCGACTTAAATTGAGCTGCCACAACAGGGGTACTACCTCTAGCAAGGCACTGGCCCGCGGAGCTCCTGAATATCCATCGCGTCCCCAAAGGCGACGCTCCCTGCAGGTCTTGGCAGGAAGTCCGCCGCGAGAAGAGCTGCAGGGTCCACAGCAGTCACAGCCTGCTGTGGTTTGCCTTCTTGTCTTTGCCGGCAGTGGGATGTCGCAAGGTCTTCACTTGGCTCTTCAGCAGAATGTTTTGCCCTACTCTGGAGTAGACCCTGGAAAAGAAGTATATACTTAGGCATAAGTAGCTACAATAGGAACCCGGAACCAAAAACAAAGTATCAACTCCAAAACTGACCATGCCCGGATGTCCTTCCCGCTCACCACGACCCCCTTGTTGGGGTCCGTTCAGGGTGTAGGGTTCAGGGCTGAGGGTTGAGCTACAATATGATGTGGCCCCTTGATTATGTCAAAGATACCCCCGTGGTGGCCACAATTTAGAGCCAAAGAAATCATTCGTAAGATTTCAGGTTTTCTAGGGGGGTTTGGGGCTTAGGGCTCTAATGGGACTGCGAAGGGCTTAGGGTTCAGGGTTCAGGGTCTAGGCTTTCGGGTTCGGGTTTAAAGGGTTTTGAGGCTTAGTTAGGTCTAAGGCGCAGAGAAGCCCAAGGACCTTGGGTTTAGGGTTTAGGGCTTAGGGCTTGGGGTTTAGGGTTTAGGGTTTAGGGTTTAGGGTTTAGGGTCCAAGAAGCCAAAGCACCTTGGTGATGATGGCACCGCGGTCGAAGACACCTGTCTGGCCGTCGACCGCCACCTCTGAACAGGGTCTTGAAGGTTTGAACCCCGAAAGTCTAAACCCGAAACCCTAAACCCTAAAACCGAAACCCTAAACCCTGAACCCTAAACCCTTTTCAAGGCTTTATGATAGGAAGTTGTGCATGGAGTTGTGGGGTTTGTGCAATCTAGGGCTTTTGGGGGGGTCGAGAGCTTCGGCTTAGGGTTAAGGGTCTCAGCTTGAGGTCCACCCGAACCGCTGAATAAATTGAACCCTAAACCATAAACCGTAAACCCTAAAATCCTGACCCCAACCCCAAGCCCCAAACCTCTGCCGGGACTGAAGTCCTTCAAACCCCTATAACCCTAAGAAGCTCAGAACCCCCGAATGCCCTCCCAAACCCTAAACCCTCCAACCCTACACCCTAAACCCTAAACCCTAACCCGAAACCCTAAACCCTAAACCCTAAACCCCACCTCCCAACGCCCCAGCCCCTCACCCAACTCTGCATCTCCGAGGCCGCAAACCGCAGACGTCTCCCGGGCTGACTTAGGGTTTAGGGTTTAGGGTTGAGGGTTGAGGGTTGAGGGTTGAGGGTTTATGGTTTCGGGTTTTGGGGTTTGGGGTTTAGGGTTTGGGGTTTGGGGGTCCCCTAGACTGGTAAATTTCGCGAACCAGGTTTCGGGAAGGTGAGTTCGACACCAATCGGCGCTAACTCCCCATATAGGGGTTGGGAGTGCATGCTTGCTTTTTTCTAGACTGAACAACCATTTGAAGGCTCTGCACACCCACAGCAGCGAACCAACATGTTTTACTGTTTGTTAAGGGCCGGCGTCCCGCCGGTGACCCTCCATGAGCCTCAGATTCCCGAAGGACCTGGCCAGAAGCAAACCCTACCCCTCTATAGCCTTGCCATGGCTGACCTTCACTTCCAAGTTAAGCGCTTGCAGCGGGCTCACGCGCATTTGCTCCAGTTGCACCCGCGGTTTATAGCTGGAACCGAAAACACCATAAATGTCAGAGAAAACCCTTAAGTTCGAGACAGTGTGTTGGGAGTGTTGTCGCTAATTTTGCAGGGCCTGTTTTCTACGAACTTTTCGGGCGGCCACAACCATGCGCAAGGCATTATTTGTCATTTCTTTCTGGTTTGCGTTGGTTCGAGGCGAAAAAAAGCTAAGGTCAGTGAAAGCCTTAAGTTCAACATGGGGTGTTGGAACTATTGTAGCTGATTTTGCCAGACAGTTTTTGCCACTAACTTTTCGGGTGCCACACCCATGCGAAATTAACTACCTGTCATTGTTCCTGGTTTGTGATGGCTCGAGCCGAAACAAAGTCAAGGCCGGTGAAAACCCTTAAGATCAACGCCAGGCGTTGAGCGTCTTGTTGCTAGCTTTCCGGGATGTTTTCTCTACTGGTTTTTTCGGCTGTCGGGTGACCGTTTTCGGCGCTGTAAATGGGCACTAGCTGTTTGCAGGGAGAATTGTTTTAGGAACTGTTTTTGCTTTGTTTTTTGGATGTTTTATTTGTTGGTTTGGGTCTAGAGTCTAGGGTCTAGGGTTTATGGTTTTGAGTTTAGGGTTCAGGGCTTAGAAGACACGTCCGATTAACAAAACGGAAAAATCCAAAAACAAATAGACCCCCCCCCTGAAATCCAAGTGTCAGCTGTGTTTGGCGGTTTGCAGCTGAAAGGGTTGGGACGGTTGGTTGTTCGGGCTTAATCTGGGAGTTAAAGGTGGCTTTGGTAATGATGGCCATGGCAGTGCGTTGTGGGTGGCTTAGATCCCGAAATCGAGTGACTCTGACCCCAAAAAAAAGTTAGAGCCCAAAAAAAAGTTAAGTTCAACACCGTGTTGAACCTAACTTTTCGGGTCGGAAATCCTACGTGTTTTGGCTGTTTTTCTACGTGTTTTTTCAGCCGGCAAGGCTACAAACCGACTCCGTTTGACCTTTTGGTTTTTTACCCTTATTTCCCACATTTTTGCCTGAAACACGTCACACGACAGCCCAAAAACAACGTAGAAAAACAGCCAAAACACGTAGGATTTCCGACCCGAAAAGTTAGGTTCAACACGGTGTTGAACTTAACTTTTTTTTGGTCTCTAACTTTTTTTGGGGTCAGAGTCACTCGATTTCGGGATCTAAGCCACCCACAACGCACTGCCATGGCCATCGTTACCAAAGCCACCTTTAACTCCCAGATTAAGCCCGAACAACCAACCGTCCCAACCCTTTCAGCTGCAAACCGCCAAACACAGCTGACACTTGGATTTCAGGGGGGGGGGTCTATTTGTTTTTGGATTTTTCCGTTTTGTTAATCGGACGTGTCTTCTAAGCCCTGAACCCTAAACTCAAAACCATAAACCCTAGACCCTAGACTCTAGACCCAAACAAACAAATAAAGCATCCAAAAAACAAAGCACAACAGTTCCTAAAACAATTCTCCCTGCAAACAGCTAGTGCCCATTTACAGCGCCGAAAACGGTCACCCGACAGCCGAAAAAACCAGTAGAGAAAACATCCCGGAAAGCTAGCAACAAGACGCTCAACGCCTGGCGTTGATCTTAAGGGTTTTCACCGGCCTTGACTTTGTTTCGGCTCGAGCCATCACAAACCAGGAACAATGACAGGTAGTTAATTTCGCATGGGTGTGGCACCCGAAAAGTTAGTGGCAAAAACTGTCTGGCAAAATCAGCTACAATAGTTCCAACACCCCATGTTGAACTTAAGGCTTTCACTGACCTTAGCTTTTTTTCGCCTCGAACCAACGCAAACCAGAAAGAAATGACAAATAATGCCTTGCGCATGGTTGTGGCCGCCCGAAAAGTTCGTAGAAAACAGGCCCTGCAAAATTAGCGACAACACTCCCAACACACTGTCTCGAACTTAAGGGTTTTCTCTGACATTTATGGTGTTTTCGGTTCCAGCTATAAACCGCGGGTGCAACTGGAGCAAATGCGCGTGAGCCCGCTGCAAGCGCTTAACTTGGAAGTTAAGGTCAGCCATGGCAAGGCTATAGGGGGCTAGGGTTTGCTGACCTGATTTTTCGGAATCTCTCGGGACTCTCGGTCTCATGGAAGCTCATCGGTGGGAAGCTGACCCTTAACAAACCGTAAGACATGCTTGCTCGCCGCTGTGGGCGCGCAGAGCCTTCAGACGGCTGTTCACTCTCAAACAAGCAAGCATGCACCCCCAACCCGTGTCAGGAGTTAGCGCGGGTTGGTGTTGAACCGACATGCTCCGCGAAATTTACCACCCTAGACCCCAAACAAACCCAAACACTCAAAACCCTGACCCAAAAACCATAAAACCCGAAACTCTCGAAACCCTATAAGCCCTACTATACACCTTCCTTGATCCTTAAAAGCACCAAAAAATGCATCCTTCCTAAGAATCGTACCCTCTACCCTAAACCCTAAACCCTAAACCCACCTCCAAGCGTGCCAGGTTCCAGGAGGCTTCCATGAAAGTCTCCACTCGCACGCCGTGCAGGCCTTCAGCTCCGAAATAGGGTTTAGGGTTTAGGGTTTAGGGTTTAGGGTTTAGGGTTTCGGATTTCCGAGGCTTACGGGCTTCAAGGGCTTCAAGGGTCTTAAGGGTTTTAAGGGGTTTTAAGCCAAACCCTGGACTTCAACCCAGAGTTCGGACCTGAGGGGCGTTCACAGGGTTTAGGGTTTAGGGTGTAGGGTTTAGGGTTTAGGGTTTGGGGGTTTACGGTTTAGGGTTTAGGGTTTAGGGGATACTTCAAACTCGAATTTGCGGCGAAGCAGCTGAAGGTGGAAGGCACGGCTATGTTCCTCCGCCATGTTTTGGGTTTTGGGTTTTGGGGTTTAGGGTTTAGGGCTAGGGTTTAGGGTTTTAGGGTTTAGGGCTTGAGGTTTAAGAGTCTTAGGGTTTAGGGACTTAGGATTTTGGGGCTTTGGGGGGTTTAGGCTTTAGGGTTTCCGGGGTTCAGAGTTTAGGGTTTTAGGGTTTAGGGTTTGGGAGGGTATGCCAGCTAGGGGTGATGTTAAACTGTTAGGGTACTGGGAGGTTCATGGTACTTACTAACCAAATAACAACTGCATCATATTAGGGCACTTAAGGGGCTTCTAAGTGGGTTATAGGTACAGTTATAGTTGGTTAATAAGTACCATGAACCTCCAAGTAGTTACATGGCCCCTTAATGCGGGCTCTTGGAAAGGAGACCCCTACGATACCCCGAAACAGACCGTATCAAAACCCCAAAGGCCCATACATCAGAACCCTTTTTTGAAGGTAAGGGACCATATTCCGGGGCCATGAAACTACCCTGAGGGCTAGACACCGGAAGTTGTCCTAGGCAATCCCTCAACCCGAACTAGGGGCTTGGGCGGGGAGGCTGTCCCCTCTTAGGTTTTCGGGTTTTGGGCTGAGAACCTTAGGGAAAATACCCTAAACCCTACAAAGCCGAAGCCCTAAACCGCCTAGACCTAAACCCAGGGCTTTAGAGACATGTAGAGATACGAGGACTTGGAGTGTTGAGAGTGTTCGCTTGAAGGTTTAGGAGGGAACGGGCAAGGGCAAGATGTTGGGGCCTTAGAAGCAAACCCCCACCAAAACCCTGGGGGTTAGGGTTTCGCGGTTTGGGTTTAGGTTTGGGGTAGCTCTCAACGAGGGGTCAGAGGTTTAGGGATTGAGGGGGTAGCGTCTAAAGTGCTCAAGGTCATCCCGACTATCCAGGCAAGATGCTGGACAAACTCCGCCACTGCGGCAGTGCTCAGGCAGTGCTCCTGAGCAGAAACGTTGCCGGCAAGTGAGAGGGTGAACCCCCAAACCTAGCCCAAAACCCTAAACCCTAAACCCTAAACCCTAAACCCTAAACCCTAAACCCCTGAACCCTGAACCCTAAACCCCTGAACCTCCAATCCCTGACCCAACACAAAAAAGCTGAGCCACATTTCAAGGTCCGAACACGGCCCCAGTGGGCCCACGCATGCTGAATCATTCATACTGAGTCTTCTTCAGGGGCTCGGGCGTGTTTTTAGGTCCAAGATTGATTCCCTCTTCTTTCCCAGACGCGAGACCCTGTAATATCAGAAATCCTGGCACCGCATCCGGATTTCAATATTACCGGGGGGGAAGGGGGGTGTGTAGAGGCTTGCAAGGAAGGCTCGACCCAAAACTCCAAGAGTCTCCCTCTGGGTCCTAGAATGTCTCATGGATTGCGGAACCGAATACAGCAGCTACCTGACCTTGAGGGCTTTATTATAGGGTGTAGGGTTTAGGGTGGTGGGTTTACGGTGCCCGAGATCTGTCAGAAGCAATCAGGGTCACTAAGCCGTAAACGCCGAGCCTACGCCCAAAACCTCCAACACTAAATCCTCATTCCTGCAGTGAAAAACAAAAGAAGCAAGCCCGAAACTCCCAAAAAGTTGAAAAAACCTTACTGCCACTTGTAAAACCGTGAACCCTGAACCCCCTTAGACGCCGAAACCTTACACCCTAAATCCCCCCTAGGCCCCTTAGTCCTAAACCCTACACCCGAAACCCCCTTAGACCCTCTACTCCCCCTACCTAGTCCCTGAACCCCCTAACCCAGCCCCCGCCACCCGACCCCCTACACCCTGAACCCTGAGCTCTAAACCCTATCTACCCTAGACACCAAACCCTAAACCCTAAACCCTAAACCCTAACCCCTAAACCCTAAACCCTAAACCCTAAACCCTAAACCCTACACTCCAGAAGCGCGCAAGCCAGGAGTCGCCAGCTTTGCAGGAGGTGGGCGTGAGTTGAAAGGGCTTGCGGTCTTGACCTCATCTGGGTTTAGGGTTTAGGGTTTCGGGGGTTTCGGGGGTTTCGGGGGTTTCGGGGGTTTCGGGGGTTTCGGGGGTTTAGGGTTTAGGGTTGAGGGTTGAGGGTTGAGGGTTTAGGGTTTAGGGTTTAGGGGGGTTTCGGGGGTTTCGGGGGTTTCGGGGGTTTAGGGTTTAGGGTTTCGGGGGTTTAGGGTTTAGGGTTTAGGGTTTAGGGTTTAGGGTTTAGGGTTTAGGGTTTAGGGTTTAGGGTGTCGGAGGTTTTGAAGTTTAGGGTTTAGGGTTTAGGGTTTCGGGGGGTTTGAGGTTTAGGGTTTAGGGTTTCGGGGGCGTAGGGTTGAGGGTTTCGTGTTTTGGTTTCAAGGGTTTTGGGTTGGGTTCTGGGTTTCGGGGTCTCAGGGCTTAGGATAGGGTTTTGGGTTTCGGGGGTTTAGGGTTTAGGGTTCTGGGTTTCGGGGCTCAGGGTTTAGGGGTTAGGGTTTTGGGTTTCGGGGGTTCAGGGTTTAGGGTTTTGGGCTTTACATGGGAGACTTCATAGAATCATTGCGACTTGGAGGCACCCCTTCTGGTACGAGGTTTAGGTTCCGGTTTAGGGAGTAGAACTCACCATCCTTACAATTCCTAAGTCCAAGATCTCCAGCTCCAAGCGTTCAAACGAAGCCAAAACCCTAAACCCTAAACCCTAAACCTTAGACCCTAGACCCTAAACCCTAAACCCTATACCCTAACCCGTGAATGTGTGAAAGCGCTTTCACTGGCGCTGCGGCGCGGCAGGCTTGATGCTTCACGTCCGCGGCCACTTCAGGCAGCAAGCTGCACGGGTCAAACCCTAAACCCTAAACCCTAAACCCTAAACCCTAAACCCTAAACCCTAAACCCTACAGCTCGAAAAGGTCCATGCCTCCCAGCTTTTTCAGCGGTGCCGCGGTGGGAGAAGCGATCTGTGGCTCCCGATTGATAGCAGCATGAGGTGCCCATCAGCCGGGGAAGCCTCCTGCTCGTCATGGTTGATCACCACGGCCTGCCCTGGGTTTTGGGTTTCGCGGGCTTAGGATTTAAGGGTTTAGGGTTTAAGGTTTCGTGGGTTTAGGATCTATGGGTTTATAGGGTTTTATATAGGAGACCTCAAGATTACCTGTGGCGTTTGGTGAAGCCCTTGGAGGCACCCCTTTTGGTAGGAGGTTTGGGGCTCGGCTTAGGGAAAAACTTTAGGGGTTTAACATTTTGGGATATCGGGCTCGGGGCCGCAGAAACTACGAATCCACAGCATTTGCCTTGTAGACCCTAAACCCAAAACCCCCAACATCCAAAGCCACCTCATGCCCTACACCCAACAGCGCCTGTATCAGGGCATATGAGCCACAAACCCTTCTAGGGTTTAGGGTTTAGGGTTTAACCATGGCCTCCCTAAACCCTAAACCCTAAACCCTTCTAGGGTTTTGGGGGCTAACCTTGTAGCGGTCATTCTGTCCCGGCTGCAGGGCTTTAGTTCCTTGTTGGGGCGACAGGTTTTTGGGAAGCTTCGGATGTTTTTGCATCTACAGGGTCAGGGCGCAGTGTTTAGGGTTTAGGGTTTAGGGTTTATGGGTCTGATAGACTTCTTCTGGATGCATGCCTTCGGATGTACGTGGTGCCTGAACTCTGCAAACGCGCAAGGGTTCTCTAAACCCCTATAAACCCCAAAGTCTCAACCCACAACTGCAAACACAACTCCCAGGGTTTAGGGTTTCGGGCCAACCCCTATGCGTAGCACAACAGTGCTCTGAACACACCTAAAGGCAGAGCACATCAGCGAGTGGCACGTACCAGGCCGACAAACCCTTCACCCTAAACCCTAAGGGCCCCCAAACCTCATCAACTTATCCATCCCCTTGGCCCTACTAAACCTTACCCCCCAAACCCCTAAAGCCCTAAACCTGCGAAACCAGTAAACTTCCTGAGCCCCAAAACCCTAAACCCTAAACCCCAAACCCCAAGCCCTAAACCCTAAACCCTGATGTAGGGATCCTCTCCCAGGCAGAGCTGCAAAGGTCCGGCGCGCCGCAAACCAACAACTGGAAGTCGGCGATCGTGCCTAACTGGCATTTCTAAGCCCAAAAGGCCTAGCCTTACCTCGCATATCGGGGCTTCCGAAAATAAGGGGTACCCTTTTTGAGGTTGCAAAAATAAGGCGTATAGTATTTCGGGGTATATTAGGGGGACCCTATTTTGGCACGAACAACAAAAGGCACAGGGACGTCTTGGCCATTGGACAGAAGGCATTGGGATACCTTGGCTTATTAAAGGGTCATCCTCCATAACGAGATCCTCTCTACTTGGGAGTAAATCCTGGACGAAAAGTATATACTTGTTGGGTATCTAGGCTGCCCAGTAACCAAGGCTTAAAAAGGGTGCCCTTTTTTGCTTAAAGGGGTTTAGAAGGGAACCTAAACCCCCCCAAAAGGGAATAAGGGTACTAGTGGGCATCCTAGGTATAAGTAGAGTGTGTGCCCAAAGTGCATCGGCCGCTTCGAAAGGATTCAACAAGCAGGCTCGGATGATCTCGTTCCCTCGAGTTTGGGGTTACGATACTCCCCTTAGAACCTTAGTAACAATATTGTTTTTAATATCCTCTTGGGCTTTATATACACAAAGAATAATTCCAAAGGGGGATATAGGTTCAGGTGAGGCATACTTGCCCCGTTCCCCCAGAAACCTAAGATTATTTCTGGGCGGCTTCGGGGTGTTTGCCATCGTTCCTCTTCCGGCAATGCTCTCGCACGCATAGTGACGAATTCTTAGGGTCCGGGGGGGGGGGGGGGTTCACCTGCAAATCCACCGCATTCCCGCTCATGGTGGTGACGGTGACAGTGATCCGAACCATTTTAGCTCTGGCAGGACTACAGAGGGATCCCCTGCACTGCCTTGCAGAGCCAAGCCCTAAGAAAAAAAAAAAACACCATGTATCTAAACCCTAAATAGGGTTTAGGGTTTAGGGTTCAGGATTTAGGGTTTAACCCTAAACCCTAAAACACCTTTCAGCAGATGCAGGACTGGTAAAGGATCCGGACCATGGATGGTACACCGCCCTCTGCCCTATCGGACCAGTCCCGAAGCCCGAAACCCTAAACACTAAACCCTAAATGCCCGGACAAATGGGGGGGGGGGGTGAAATGAATGGGCTACAGGGGTTTATAGGATTTAGGTTTAGAGCTCAGGCCTTAGGGTGCATAGGGTTTATCGCGATTGGGGGGTTTCTGAAATTGGGGACGTTATGATAAGGGAACCCTAACATTTTAGGGACTATAGGGCCCCATATTTTCGTAAACCCCCAAATGCAACGTCCACAAACATGCACTGGTTAGAACCGCTATAGAGGTCACCCGGCCGAGCATTCGGTTGCTGTTGCTGCTAATTCTAGTGTCAATTTGTACTTTTTGCGAACAATACTGTTATCATTGTTGCTCTTGTTTATGCTGCTTGTATTCTTTCGACATGTTGCTATCATTGCATTCGGCCGGGATTTCCTAAACCCTAAACCCTAAACGCCAAAACATAAACCAGAAAGTTTCAAAAGCCTGGAATCCTCGAAGCCCTGAGCCCCAAACTCCCGAGTTTCAACACCCAAGACTCCTCGAAATCCCAAACCGAAAAGCATCTACAGTAGAGTCTACGTCCTCCTCCTCCCCCAAGCCCCAAAGCTGAATCCCAAACCCTAACCCCAAACCCTAAACTCTAAAGAGCCCCACCAAGCAAAGCAAGAAACTGAACCCTGCAGCCCAACAGAACCTTCACCCTAAACCCTGAAGCCCTCTAGGCTGCCCAGTAACCAAGGCTGAAAAAGGGTGACCTTTTTTGCTTAAAGGGGGTTATAAGGGAACCTAAACCCCAAAAAAAGGGAACAAGGGTACTACTGGGCATCCTAGCCCTTAATTAATCCAGAGTCAGGGTACAGCATGACATCTAACCCTAAACCCAAACCCTCTAAACCCACTAAACACCCTAAACCCTAAACCCTATAGGAATCCTCTAAACCCTCTAAACCTTCTACACCCCCTAAGCCCTCTAGATCCTCTGAGCCCTCTAAACCCTCTACGCCCTCTGCCTTCTAAACCCTAAACCCTAAACCCTAAACCCCAAACCCCAAATCCCAAACCCTAAACCCTAAACCCTAAACCCTAAACCTTTCGCCGAGCTACCGCTACCGGGCGTCGACGCTGTGGTCGCCGTGACGGCGAAGGCCGCCACGCGCGGGATGAGCTTGAAGCCTTTTTGGTTTATGTAGGGTCTAGGGTTTAGGGTTTAGGCTTTAGGGTTTTAGGGTTTTGGGGTTTAGGGGGTTTAGGGGGTTTAGGGTGTTTAGGTGGTTTAGGTGGTTTAGGGCTTTAGACAGGTTTGGGGTCTATCGCGGACTTCTCAGCATGTCGGTTGATCCTTCCCCGCAGCGCGAGCAGCGGGCGAAGGCCTAGGGTTTAGGGCTGTGGATTTAAGGTCTAGGTTTTCAAAGGGTTTAGGGTTTAGTATTTAGGGTTTTGAGTTTAGGGGTTTAGGGTTGTAAAAGGGCTAAGGGGATTAGGGCTTTTAGGGGTTTAGGGGTTTAAACCCTAAACCCTAAACCCTAAACCCTAAACCCTAAACCCAAACCCTAAACTCGGGTTAGACAGCCTTCAAGATCTACATCGACTTAGGGACTTAGGGGGCCCAAGGCTGTGCGGCTGCTCAAGCTTGAAAAACCTTCTAGGGTTAGGGTACTGAACCTCAACGCCAGCAGGCTAAACCCTAAACCCTAAACCCTAAACCCTTTAAACCCCTAACCCTAAACCCTAAACCCTAAACCCTCAACCCTAAACCCTAAACCCTAACCCTACACCCTAAACCCTAAACCCTAAACCCCTAAACCCCTACAGCAGACGCCTAAACCCGTAAACCAGTCCTCTAGCTCCCCTGAACCCCTAAACCCTAAACCCTAAACCCTAAACCCTAAACCCTAAACTCTAAACACCGAACCCTAAAAGCACGCCCCGTCGCCGCTGACGGCAGCATGTTGCGGAAGCCAGGTTCCGGCTGCAGCTCGACCAGCATCCTTTTTGAAATCTGAGGGTTCAGTCAGTTCGGGTTTAGGGTTTAGGGTTTAGGGTTTGGGGTTTAGGGTTTAGGGTTTAGGGTTTAGGGTTTAGGGTTTAGAGTTTAGGGGGTTTGTGGCTTAATTATCTTGTAGGGTTTAGGGTTTTGGGTTCATTGTGCCTGGTTGGAGTGTTTCTGGGTTCGGTAAGGTTTGGGCCAGGCAACGAAGACAACCCAATGGAGCATTCACCGAACTCTGAAGCCAGGCGGCCCGCACCGCGCAGAAACCCTAAACCCTAAACCCTAAACCCTAAACCCTAAACTCCGGGTTTGGAATTTGGAGGTCTCCGAAGTTAGGGGTGCCTTATTGGGTCCTTAAAAGAAGGGAATCCCATTATATGGGGGGTCTACATTTGGGGTTCCCGATTTTGGTAAACTATCATTTGGGCTGCAGGGTGCAGGCAATAATTCCGGACAAGTCTTACCAAATCACAAAGCTACGCTGGGTCGCCAAAGGGTTCCACAGGTTCAGGGTACTTATGACCCAAATAAGTTTATAGCCCACTTCTAAGCCCCTCAATGACTCCAAGCGTATAGTCTAAATAAGTGGGAAATTACACATTCTGAACCTCCAAGTAGACCTCAGAGAAGAAGCCCGGAAGGCAGCTACATCAGGGCCTCGCAGTAAGCCCTAGAACCCAACACGAGAAAACTCAAAAAAAGCAAAAGCCCGAAGCCCGTGCATCCCAAGAACCACGGAAGCCCCAAAACTTTAGGGTTTAGGGTTTAGGCTCCAAAACTGCTATAGTGAACTCCAGAAAGTTGGAACATGGGTTTGGGATGATGACTGCTGGGTTTCCCTATACTTCACCTTAAGGGTATGAGGATACTGATGTTCCAACTTTCTTGAGTTTACTATATTACCCAGCAACACTCCCTGGGTCGGGTTTGGGGTTTAGAGTTTAGGGTTCAGGGTTCTAAGGGCGAGCTTGACATCCATAGTCCTCTGCGAACTTCAAGCTCCAGATGATGCAGCGCTGTTGCGCGTGGGGATTCTCCACCTCGGGTTGAAGGTTCAGGGTTCAGGGATGAGGGTTTGGAGTTTAGGGTTTAGGGTTTGGGTTTAGGGTTTAGGGTTTAGGGTTGAGGGTTGAGGGTTTAGGGCTTAGGGCTTAGGGCTTAGGGTTTAGGGTTCAGGGTTTAGGGTTTGGGGCTCAAGGTTCAAGGCTTAGAGCGTCTGGGCACGGGTGGCTTCAAGAACAAGGGTGGGGCTTAGGGTTCTATCCCTAAACCCTAACCCCTATACCCTTTAAGGGTACCAAGGAAAAGCTGGAGGGCATCAAAGGGGCCATAATATAGATCAACTCTAGTATACGTCTTTTGTGAGGTCGTAGTGAGGGTGTATATAGTGAGGGTGGGGCTTAGGTTCTTTATTTTGCCAGAGTTCAGGGTTTTGTCTTCTGGTTTGTTCTCCCTCTCCTTTCTCTAAACCACTAACCCGAAACCCGAAACCCCGAAACCCTAAACCTGTGACAGGGCAGATGTGGCGGCGTGCTAGCCCTCTGGGTTTCGGGTCTACCACTTACGACGCATGCACAAAGAATGCCAGGTCGCCTTCTTGGACAGGTAGACGTACAAGTAGCAAAAGGAATTGTCCTCGCTGGGCCGCGTTGTGCAAATCCACGAGGCAAGCCCTAAACTGGTTTAGGGCTTAGGGCTTAGGGCTTAGGGTTTAGGGTTTAGGGTTTAGGGTTCAGGGTTTAGGGTTCGGGGTCTAGGGTTCAGGGTGGAGGTTTCGGGCCTAAACCATAGCCCGGAAGCTCTGGAGTCCTGGAGTTTCAGGAGTACACCTTCAAGTCTTGTTGGGTCTCGTGTTGTGGATGAACTCAGGCACCTTAGAGGTATATTCGGCTCCCGGCACCCTAAACCCTAAACCCTAAACCCTGAACCCTGAACCCAAAACCCTATAAACCCTAAACCGGAAGCCTAGATGCCCCAAACCCAGAATGCCCAAAACCCAGACCCAAACTTGCCGGCAAACATCGGATGCCTTGAACTTTGGGCTTAAGACTTTAGGGTGGGGGGAGGGGGGAATGCTATTCGTAATGATTCCGACGCCTAGGGTTTAGGGTTTAGGGTTTAGGGTTTAGGGTTTAGGGTTTAGGGTTTAGGGTTTAGGAGTATTTGGAGTATCTTAAGGGGCGTTTTTTTTCTCAGGGGACTTGGCAGGGCGAGGCCTCAGATGGCCAGGGCTTAGGGCTTAGGGCTTAGGGCTTCGGGTTTAGGGTTTAGGGTTTAGGGTTTAGGGTTTAGGGTTTAGGGTTTAGGGTTTAGGGTTTAGGGTTTAGGGTACGGGGGGACAACCAAGGAAGGAAATCAACTCCCCTAATCGCCCTGAACTTATATTTCCCAGATCGAACCAAGAAACAACCAAGAACACGGATAAGAGCAACCCAGGGGGGAAGGAAAGGGGGAAGGAATCCACACCCTTACCAAACCCTAAGAACCCAGGCACTACTTTTTGAACTTGTGGCTTTCTGTTCAAGCCCATCTTGAGCCAAATACGATTACCGGGTTCATTAACCCTTCCAACTTCCAACACTAACTCCTTTCTACAATACCAATTGCAGCTCCGCACTCCCCCTGTCCTAGGATTTCCTAGGACACATTGGAGATGCAGATCTTTTGGCCAAAAACTGCCATTACGGCAGCAGCCAGCTGCTTGAAATGCAAATTGTGGTTTAACGTCTTCCAGGACGGAATTATAGCACATTGGCTAACCTACTACCCATAGAGAATCTTTTTTCACCTTGATCCTCTCATCACTGAAGACTCCTTGGCCTTCTCCACCACAAACCGTGGTCTTCGCTACGCGAAAAGCTACTGACTCCTACTATCAGGGATTTCCATACCCTTAATAGTAACCACCACATTGTCAGCACATTGGCTGTTCCAGCGCACCGGTCTCCAGAAAGAGAAAAACCATCCCTTCATCCATACCATCCAATCACTTCTTTTTCCGATTGTTGGCAATCTTGAGGTGAAGTTGCAGCAGAATATACTCCAGGTCCGAAATCGTAAGAATAGGATCCTGTATGCCCCTTTGAATTGAGGATACCAATCCTTCTCTCTTTGCGTCCTCAATCGCCTGGCAAGATTGACCCAGCTCTTCATTCGCATTGGCAGACCCTGGTGCCTCCGCATCGGATGGACGATCCTTTTCCTCAGGATCTTGCACCATTACCACCTCTTCTTTTTTGGGACTCTGACTTTTCTCCTTCTTCTTTGTCTTTCCACCGACATTTGACTTTGTGCGCGTCTTCGAGGATTTTTCCACTGCAGAAGCCACCACATTGGATGTTGATCCACCCTTCTCAATGATCGTCGGCATCTTCTTCGGCTTTGGAACCATGAGAGTGTAAGGATCTTCGATAGCTGCAGCTTTCCTCTTCTTTTTTACCTTTTTCTTCTCCTCCTCAACGGCAACCTCCGTCTCCGAAGTCTCAACCACTTCTTTTTCGGCAGGAATATCTTTGCTGGACTCCCCTTCTAGGGACCTCTTTTTCCCTTTTTTGGGATCCTTTTCTTCTCCCAAATTGGCTCGCTCATACCATATCCTCAGGTCATTGACCCATTCTTCCACCTCCGCGAGCGAAACATCGTACGACTTCACTACTTCGAGAAGTTCCAGCACTGACAACATTTCAGTGGTCCACGAAACCCATACTTGATCCATTTGGTCAGCATCTCCAGTGAACTTCAGGAGTTTGAACAATGGGTCCGCCTCTGCTCGAGCCAAATCTGGCTTGCCACCGGAGAGAAATGAAATCGCCTCCATCAACAGTTCCGTCATCTTGGTCTCTTCGTCATAAACCATAAAATCCTCCTCATCATCATCGAACTGTTCAGGAGGGATCTCCTTTTCTCCGCCATTTGCACCAGACTTTCTCCTTGGACCATCCCTTAGGGGAGTCCTTGGAGACCTTGGCCTCTGTTTTTCCAACGGAACACCATGCTCGAAGACACACCTGTCACCAAATCGACACTTCCCAGACCGAGCAAACTGGACGCACCTCACACCAGTTGCATCATGCGAGAACCCACAATCCTTTCCAGCGAAACATTCTCTCCCTGCCACATAGTATTTGCACCAATATGAATGTAGCACCACATCATCTTCGGAATGGATGAATTTGCAGTCGTCACCAAATTTGCAGCGATCTTTCCCTTTGCCAAACCAATAGCAGAAACCCTTCTTCCTCTTCTCCAAGCGCTCTGCCTCATACCGGTCCATAGGGCGACTGTGCTCTACATGAACATTGCCATGTACCTGGGGACTGCTCCCTTCACCCGACGTGCTATCAGTATTTGGTGCTTGGAGTACAGCTGGAAAACCTGGCCTTGGTCCTACCACCTTCATGATCGGTTTTCCGCCAACTCCTGAGCCATGCTGAGACGATCCAAAAACATTGAACATCTTCATGAAGGCCTTCCTAGCGCCAATCTTCTGCACCCTTTTGATTGGACGTTTCATTGCTCCAACCTTGCATCCAGATGCATTCAAACGACGCAACCTTCTAAACCCAACTCTATGTCCCTTCTTCCAAAGAGCCATAAGAATTTTAGAGGCAGTGACATTCTCCACCTCTACCTTTTCCAATGATCCCTCACTTCCCGGAACAAACCCATCCATCTCTGAAGACCTTTCCATCTTTTTTGACACCACTTCGTCAAGGTAGTCTTCTGAAATCCAGGGAAAGTTCCCCTTAGAGGAAGGATTGTCATCATTGTTTGGTCCTTCACCAGGATATCCTTTGGTGCTGTCAAAGATCTTACCAGTAGTGCGGTCCTGCATAGAGAAATTCGAAGCCACGCGGGAGTACACTGACCACAAGAAAATCCTTGTGTCCGCCAGTCTGGATGACCCACTGGATTTCTCCTCTTCCGGAGAAACTTCTGGCGCTTTGCCCTTCCCTCCAGTGTCACCGCTTGTCTCACCTCCAGCATCTTCAATGGGAATAAGGGATTCATTGTTCCCTTGATCAAGCACCGCATCCTCTAGTCCAAGAACTTCCAGCATCGCTGTCGAAGGATCCACCTCCTCATCCGCATCGTCGTCCATCCTTCTCCAGAGAGCCTCCAATTGGTCCGCACAAGTCGCCGCTTGAAGAAACTCCATCAACCGAGCCCTCCCGCGCTGCCAGAGAAATTCTGAAACCATCACCGACCCTTGTGCTCCCAGATTCAGGAATGGGTGAACCATTTTGGCTACCCTCGCCATAAGTTCAATATGAACTTCCATGCCTGGACTGCGGCTCCAATCATAGGCAATTGCCTCCATAGCAGTACCAAACTTGTCCGTATTCTTGAATTCCCCTTCCAGACCAGGAGACAACAAGGTACCCATCACCGAAAGAGGGTAATTCCCCACCGCCGGCAAGCACGGGTTGTCATGGAACGAATGATGCAGGTCAGTATAATGTCCTTGATCTCTCCTTTGAAAAAGGAGTGTTCCAGTCCCTAGCTGGGCATTCATTTCATCCACTTGAACCATTTCAGCACATATCCTCTGTGCCAGGTGCGCCATTGCTGGCCAGACGGTACGATCGGTCAGACCGCGACGCATAACCCAATCAGTTGTTGGCGACTGGATCAGCGTTCCTGGATCATACACCATAACCATTGCACCGTCTCCCATTGACTGATCAGCATCGTCCTCCAGTGCCAGGTTCTCATCCTGTTCGCTTGCACCCTCGGATGACATGCTAATAACCAAATTTCGATCCATCTTATTGGACCCTTTTTGGCAATCTCTTTGCCCCATTGGCAACTTGCCAACTGCAACCTTCCAATAAATTCGAGTCAGAAGGCCTTTCACCAGCAATTGCTGAAGGTCACTCCTCACCGGACCACCATCCAACATCTTCGCATCATTACCACGGAGATCATTGCTCCCGCCTTCTCCTTCTTTTTGGTCGGTCTCCTCGCCAGAAATCTGTACTGCTCCTTCCGGCGCCGTCTCCTGTCCAGCCACTTCATGCCCAGGAAGAACTTGAGCGCTTTCAGAGACATTCACCTGTCCAGCAGCACCTTGCCCAGGTAAAACCTCATCCGTGGAGCCCACCGCCAGCGAACCAACCATAACTGAACCATCCCTTGTTCTTTTTTGAGACCGTTCAGCTCGACGAGAAGGTTGTGGTAGCGAAAAAACTTGAGAAGTCACTTCTTGGCGGGTCTCCCCCCGCGACGCTTTGTCGCGCCCTTCGCCAAGGTGAACCGATTTTTTCGGCCCATCATTGGAGCCTGAAGAACCACTTTGTGGAACATTGCCACGACTCGCAGTTCTCCACGAATCCCTTTCTTGCAAAAAGAGTTCCTTCAGGCGTTGTACCGCATTGGTCTCCTCCTCGCTTGAATCGCTTGAGGAAGCGGCATACGAGACCAAAGCCTCCGCCTGGTCATCATCATCCACCACATCTGCCCACGCTCTGCTGAATGGATACGACAAACCACCACGAGGTTTCACCGGCTCCAGTGGCTTCGGTTTTTCCACCACTTCCGCCAGTTGCACTCGTCGTTGTGACCGAGATCGTGGCACCTGTCGCACCTGTTTTTTGTCCAGCAAGGGCCTTCCCCTTCTTACAGGGTTTGATCTTGACCGATACTTTTTCGTTGGTGGATTCACCGGCGGCATTCCAACTCCCACCAACCGCAGCTTCTGTACGCACAACGGAGACCTCTGCGCAAGCGTCCAACCATCACGGTACCTGACCTTATCAAAAAGCTCCCGATAGGAACCTCTCGGCATAGTTTTTGCACCGGAGTCTTCAGCTTCACGCACCTGAGTGAGGGTTCGCACCGCCGCTCTTCCAGTCCCTTTGTTCCCAGAAGATTGTTGTACCCGTACAGATGCATCAGACGGAACTGCCTTTTCCGGTCCTCCCGGTCGATATCGGACCTCACCCACCAATTGCAGAATTTTGCATGCGGTCACTTTGTTGATCCCTTTGTCAACCAAATCTTCCACAAAGATGAACTCTTGCAAGTCCGACACATTGGTCACACCAAGCGTAATCATCACCTCACTTACATGAGGGGTATACACCCACAGGTGTGCGTTGCGAGCCATCCAATTTTCAATCGGCTCCTCCGGATTGTGAAGCTGAGTACTAGTGGATGCAGCCACCGAATTCTTTTGCTCATCAGCTTCTACTTCATCCAGAATACCTTTTTCACCATCTTTTTGTGACACATTGGTCATTTGCAGCGCTTTTGGTGCCGAGGATGAGGAAGATTCAGCTCCCCCACTCGCAGGTGGCTGAAAAGTGCTTCTATCCGTAAGCTCCCATCCTCTCTCTTTTTCAAACCGGACCTGATTGGCCACCTGTACCAAGTGTTTCAGGAGCGACAACCGCTCCTCTGACATCTCGTCATGGGAGTACTTGCAGAAATTTAACCCTTTCCGGCAACGTCCTCTGAGGTAATAATCGAAACAGCAATGGTGGAACCCTGCGTCCCTTAGTGACTTCCTGGAAGCATTGTCCCAAGCTTTGCCGGGCTCCCAAGTCCCTTCCAATGCTACATCATCGTTGTGAAGGTACCTGCATGCAGTCCCATATTTACAACCACCTTGATTGTAATACAGACACAGCCGACCTTTTGGCTCACCTGACGTAGGCTCACCCTTTGATGCACCTTTGCCAAAATTGTACTTGGCCCGGAAGGCTAAATCCTCCCGCTCCTGCTGTGCCTCATCCACTGTACCTTCCTCTGTGGGAGGGTCACCGATGTTCCCGTCCTCATCATCAGCTTCTTGGCTATTCTTTGGATCAGTTGACCCCCTTCTGGCCAACCTTCACCGTACCGACGATGCTCATAGGGACACCCATCGCCATTGCGACACCTTCCCTTATTGAAGAACCTGCACAGCTTGCTGTAACCAGGTGACAACACCGTCTTTGGTGTCATGTAAGCCTTTTTGTACTGGTCAGGATCCATGTAGGCTTCCATTGGCTTGTTCTCCCTTTTGCTCATGGATTGCACTGCACCATCAAGCTCCTGCAAAAATAGCTTGGTGTCCAACCAAAGCGCGTTCCAAAACTCATCTTCCCCTTGATTCAGCACCGTTGCCACCGCTTCACCCACAACTGGTCGAGAAAATCTCCTTTTTCTACATGCCAGTTCGAAAAGCGCGTTGTGGTACTGTTTTCGGGAAAAAGTGGTTAACTTCCCCAAGCCTGTGCTTTCTGTACCATCAGGCTTCCAACCATCATCTTGCAAGATGCCATACGCGCGCCGAGCTTCCGCATTGAGGAATGCCTGATCCGCAACACACTCCTGTAAATCTTCCATCGGCCGACCTAACAGCATCCCAGTAATTTTGCCAACATAGGCTTCCTCTTCATTTCCATTCTCCAGAAGAGCTTTGTAGATCTTTTCTCCATAAAGTTGCCTTTCTTTTCGTTCTTCAGAAGACAACTCCTGTACCACAAGCTCTTCATCGGATTGCTCTTCCTCCTGTTTCCAGTCCCATTGACCGTTGGAATCTTGGTACCATTGACCAGCATACCATGAATCCGTCCACCACGTACTCCAGCCGCTGGGTTTCCACTTCCGCAGCGTCGAAGAAGAGTCCTCCACGTCCTCTTCCAAAACCAGAAAGGTGTCCAAGATTATGGTACCATCATCTTCCACTCGTTTCACTGTTCCATTGACAGTATCACCAAACTTGAACTGATATGCATTGTTCCCTTCTGCAGGAATCAATACATTCATATCCCCATGGTCCAAAAAAGCTCCATACCCATTGATGCAGCGCACCAGACCCATGATCTCATCTCCCTCTTGATAGCAATGTGGCCCAGGTGACTCCAAGGCTCCCGCTCGGGGCACTTTCTTTACACGCTCTTCAGAAACCATCTCTGTATCATCGGCTCCTGGCGCATCCTTTGTCTTCACCTTTGGGTCACACTGCTCGTCCTGCTCCACGAGTCCCACAAGCTCATCTTTTTTGTGCTCCTGGATTTCAGGACCTCCCTTTTTCTCCGCCAACGGCTTTGCCTCATCTGCTGTAGTTCGCTCGGTGTCGACTTCCGGTGAACTTCCAGACGGCAACGCTTCTCCCTTCATGGGAGTGGACCCATCATTGGAGTCCTTTGTCTCACCTTCTGCAGCAGGCAAATCTTCTTCCACTGCAGGGCAATTGAGTCGATCATCCACGGCAGGCACGCTTTCTTCCACCGCAGGCTCCTTTGGTTCCATGGCCTCCAAAGGAGAATTTCCACCATCATTGACCACAGCTGCCTCATTGGCTCCGGTGTAGCCCTTGTCATTTCGTTCCTCGCTGCTAACTTCAGGTTGCACCAGTGCGTCCACCTGTGAACCTCCATCATCAGCTGCTGCGGAGACCTGCGCCCCATTGTTGCAGTCGCCCGTGGAACGTACCACCACATGCACCTCAACCCGTGCTTCCTTCGCACTCCAGGTAATATCTGGCGCATCAACCCGCGCATCATTGGCGCTCCAGGCCTCATTTTTCAGATCATCCGTGTCTCCAGCTATTCCAGAAGCTTCTTTTTCCCCTTGAATGGCAGAATTCTTGGCACCAAACGAAGAGACCTCCTCAGTCGTAACACACAACTTTTTCTCTCCATCCTCCGAATCTCCAGGACCACCTTCCTGAACAACAGGTACCACATCCACCACTCGCTCTTCTGCAGCCGACACAGTTCCGATCACCTCATTGGGCATTTTCTCTTCTGGATCCACCAATTCCATCGCTGCCCCACCCTCAGAAAGCGCTTCTGTTTCTTCCCGATCCAGGTGTTGAGCTCCAGCGATGTTGGCTTGGTTCCCAGGAATCCCTTCCTCATCAGGAGAACCCGGGGTCGGGGCGTCACCATCAGCCCTAGGACCGCTATCCCTGATAGTAGAGGAAAAATCTTTTTCACCTAAACTATTTACACTACCCTGGAATGCCCTCGTAGACTCAGTCTTCGGAGTAGAGGATGAAGAATCCAGTGCCGCCTCCATTTCCAGCTCATTGCCCAAAGGAGACCCAACCACCTCGTCACTCTTCACCTTTTCACCTACCACCGGCAATGTCCACTTGGTTTCGTGCGTATCCAGGCAGTAATAATATTGTCTCCCATCTTCATGGAGGTGCAATTCCCACATTGTGCCATCACACGCTTGGATCAGATGCTCGTCTTTCCGAAAACCGTCCCTTTCAGAAACCTGTCGCATCTCGTCCTCTTCTTCTGACAGCTGTCGCAACCGTTCAGCCTCCATCTGTAGGATCTCCTCCTCCCCCATGGCGTATTCAGCAGCAGGTGCAGCTTCAAAGCCGTCCGCACCCTTCTGTTTGTGACCGCTTCCACCACCTTGGGAACTCGAAGATGGACCCTTTTTGATCTTGTTCAACGGCCTCCTGGTCGCTTGTAGCACTTCTCCAATCAGATCGGTCTGAGACTCTTGGTCTACCATTCGACCCGAAGTCGAAGACGACGGCTGGTACCCGTGTTTGTGTAACACTCGTAAAACAGTCACCTCCATTTCACGATCTATGCCACCAGTCGCATCCCAGTTCCTTTTTTCACCAGGCTTTGGCGGTACAGAAACAGCACGTCCTTCAGCTTCAGCATTGCTAACCATATCCCTATTGGGATTCATACCCGCATTGGGGCTTTCTGCAACCAAGGCCTCTTCCAGATGTACTTCAGCGTCGGGAATCACCTCTTCCAACACCGATCTTTCACCCAGAGACTCAGCTGCACCATTTCCAGCTCCACCATCTTGTCCACCATCCGAGGCAAGTTGGAGCCATCGCTTCGGAGAAGGCATTGCTTCTTGATCCCAAAACCTTGAAAGAACACTTAACCGCAGGGAACCTAATTTGGGCTCATAACCTACGGGGGGACAACCAAGGAAGGAAATCAACTCCCCTAATCGCCCTGAACTTATATTTCCCAGATCGAACCAAGAAACAACCAAGAACACGGATAAGAGCAACCCAGGGGGGAAGGAAAGGGGGAAGGAATCCACACCCTTACCAAACCCTAAGAACCCAGGCACTACTTTTTGAACTTGTGGCTTTCTGTTCAAGCCAATCTTGAGCCAAATACGATTACCGGGTTCATTAACCCTTCCAACTTCCAACACTAACTCCTTTCTACAATACCAATTGCAGCTCCACATAGGGTTTAGGGTTCATGAACTCTAATCCTCAAAACCCATAAACGCAAGCTGTGGAGGGTTAAGGTTTCGTCTCTGCTCCGTTTAGCCAGGATCCCGTATTGCTTGGTGTATTTCTGGTTGGGATGTAGGGGTTGTGGAGTTCAGAGTCCGACGTTGAGGATTTGAGGGTTGGAGTTCCCTAAGCCCCTAAGCCCCTAAGCCCCTAACCCTGAACCCTGAACCCTGAACCCTGAACCCTGAACCCTAAACCCTAAACCCTAAACCCTAAACCCTGAACCCTAAACCCTAAACCCTAAACCCTAAACCCTGAACCCTAAACCCTAAACCCTAAACCCTAAACCCTAAACCCTAAACCCTAAACCCTAAACCCTAACCCTAAACCCTAACCATAATTAGGCACCAGTCTCCCAGCAGTGGTTCTGACAGCTGCGCTCGTCAGGGGCCAGCGGGAAGGTACTGAAGTCCTCGACCTTCCTTAGGTTCTCAAGAGTCAGATGTTCCCCCATTCAATGGCCCCCTGAGAGGGGGGGGGGGGGGGGTTAGGGTTCAAACTTTGGGGGTTTAGGGGTTTGGGGTTTCAATTTAAGGTTCAGGGCTTTCAGGGTTCAAGCTTTAGGATTGTCGGGTTTACGGTTCATTTAAGGTTGAAGACTTCTGGGGTTCAAAACTGTGGGGTTAAGGGGGTTTAGGACTTTCGGGTTTAAGGCTTTAGTGTAGGGATTACGATCTAGGGCCCTGTGGTAGAGTTGTGTCGTATAGTCTTGTTAAGGAAGAACCACAACTTCCAGATGCTCTACACAAAACACATGCTCTTTGCGGCGGGGAAGTACCCCAAACCACTTGTATCTCAGAACACATCCCAGAAGCCTACATCGTTGTAACCCTGAAGGACATGGCACCTTGGTACACGAAGGTTGAGGGAGCTTAGAGGGTTTATAGGGCCATGCTGCCTACATCTTCATTTGTGCTGGCTCTCTTGTAAACCCGAAACCCCTAACCCTTAACCCTTAACCCTTAACCCTAAACCCTAAACCCCAAACCTTGGAGAGAGAGAGAGAGCTCCAAGCACCCTCCACATTGGGCCAAGTCTCCCCAAGACTGCATCCTTTTTGGGGCAGCTCTCGGCTTTAGGGCTGTTGGGGTGTAGGGTTCCGGGGTTTAGGGTTTGGGGCTAGGGTTTAGGGTTTAGGGTTCCGGGGTTTAGGGTTCAGGGCGCTAGGGTACAGGGTTTCGGGTTTAGGGTTTAGGGTTTGAGAGAGGGTTCACGTCCGGGGAAGTTTCGAGGAGTTTCGAGGAAAGTTTCGAGGAAAGTTTCGAGGAGTTTCTTTTTGACTTTTGAATAATTTCAAGGTTTAGCGTTTACGGTTTACAGTTTCGGGTTTCACCCCGATTTACACCTAGCAACACCTTCCCAATGGGAGGGTTTGATTACTAGAGCGCCCAACTGCAGACCCTGCTACTACCTAGACACCAAATCCCAAAACTGAAGTAAGCCCTCAACCCTAAAACCTCAACCCGAAAAGCTAAACCCTAATCCCTAAAACCTCAAGCTCCTGCAACTAGAACCGGTTCAAAAGGTAAACATAAACACCTCGAAGCTTTCCTTGAAACTTTCCCCGATTCTGAGCCGTGAATGTATAGCTTGACTGAACCCTAAACCCTAAACCCTAAACCCTAAACCCTGAACTTGTTGGAACCCCCAAGAGCGTTGTACTTTCGACATCCAGGTGAAACATAACTGGCCGGTGCTTTATGAAGTAGTAGGGACTGGGACTGAGGTACCAATAAAATCCCCTAAAGGGTACAAATGGGGCCCTAACTCCCTCATTCCCTACTTACTAAGAACCAGGGGGACAGGTGAGTGATAAGTTGCAGGATCGGTGGTGTTTAGGGTTTAGGGTTTAGGGTTTAGGGTTTAGGGTTTAGGGTCCCCAGCTGTGCGGCCGCATTAGGGTTGAGCACCTAGGGTTCATAGGGTCTTGAAGCCCTAAAACCCTAAAAACTCCAAACCACAAAACCCCTAAAGCCCTAAAAGCCTTGAAGCCCTAAAAACACCCAGCCCTGAATACCTAAAGCCATAAGGCCTTAAACTGAACAATCCTAAACCCTAAACCATACACCCAAACCCAACCCTCCTGAAACCTGAACGGCGGTTTCCGAAAAAATGGGGGGGGGGGGTACCTTATTGGGGTCCTGATTACATAGGGTTTAGGGTTCAGGGTTTAGGGTTTAGGGTTTAGGGAATCCTACGATTTGGGGGTCTGTACTATAGGGGTCCCTTATTTTCGACAACGGAAGCTTCAGGGTGTGGCTGCTGCGCAGCGGATGAAAAAAACACTTGGGTCTCGGATACCAGGGGGACAGGTGAGTGATAAGTTGCAGGATCGGTGGTGTTTAGGGTTTAGGGTTTAGGGTTTAGGGTTTAGGGTTTAGGGTTTAGGGTTTAGGGTTTAGGTTTAGGGTATAGCGTTTCGGATTCCAGAGGCCTAGGGGCTCAGGGCTTAGGGGTTCAGGGCTTCGATGTGCTTTCCCGCATGCTCTCAAAGTAGACTGCCACTTTCCTAGTTGCTGAGTACCCGGGGCCAAAAACGGTTAGCCTTTCAATTTTGGGAGGATTATGCACATATATATATATATGGATATACCCCAAAAGGTTAAAGGCTACCTACTCAGCCACTAAGCTGAAAGCACCCCCCAAAACCACACTAGGAGGCTGGAAACGAGGCAGCCCCGCCAAACCCCACGCCTCACACCCTAGAAGCCCCTAAACCCCACACACCGCACCCTGAGCCCCCCAAAGCCTAACCTCTGTACGATCTCTAAACCCTTCAGGATTTGGGAAAGGCCAGGCCCCTAGAAAAGTTCGAAATACACGACTGTAAACACTCTAAGACTCCAAGACTCTACGACCCTAACATGACACTATCAAGAGACATCCAGGCACCAGTCGCCCGGTCACAGTCCTTGTGACCGGGCTCCACAACTTTCAGAAGCCATCCGACTTTGAGACGTGTCTGTGCCCTTCAGATGCTTGCACCTGTGGCCCGAACACATGCCGGGAGGATGGCTCATTTCGGGTGAGAAGCCGTCAATAACTGGAAGGGCTTTTCCTCCTTGCCACTTCGTTCACATGACTTTTGCAATCGCTGTTTCACGGCTTCCCCGCTTGGAAGCAACCCGATCTGTCCGCTGATGGCTGTCCACTCCATCCGCACGACTTTTCATCAAGGTCGGGTTAGGGTTTAGGGTTTAGGGTTTAGGGTTTAGGGTTTAGGGTTTAGGGTTTAGGGTTTAGGGTTTAGGGTTTAGGGTTTAGGGTTTAGGGTTTAGGGTTTAGGGTTTAGGGTTTAGGGTTTAGGGTTTAGGGTTTAGGGTTTAGGGTGTACTGTAGTGTTTAGGGCTTCGGGGGGGGCCCCCTAACCCTAAACCCCAACCCCAAAACCCTGAAGCCCAAAGCCCGTCCTTTCCCACGTGCCGGACGAAGTTGACCACGTCTGGGCCTTTCTCCCACTCCTCCAGGTGGCGGGTCAGGTAGGGTTTAGGGTTTAGGGTTTAGGGTTTAGGGTTTAGGGTTTAGGGTTTAGGGTTTAGGGTTTAGGGTTTAGGGTTTAGGGTTTAGGGTTTAGGGTTTAGGGTTTGGAGTTTGGGGTTTGGGGTTTGGGGTTTAAGGTTTGGGGTTTAGGGTTTAGGGTTTAGGGCTTAGGGTTTAGGGCTTAGGGTTTAGGGGTTTAGGGGTTTAGGGTTTAGGGGTTAGGGGTTTAGGGGTTTAGGGGTTTAGGGGTTTGGGGGTTTAGGGGTTTCGGGGTTTAGGGGTTTAGGTTTTTAGGGTTTAGGTGCTTGGGGTTTAGGTGGGTTTAGGGTTTTGGTGGGTTTTGGGTTGGGGTTATACGGTCGGTTTGTTGGGGTCTGAGCCGCTTCAGAGTGCTGGGTGCCCCAAGCCCTAAACCCTAAACCCTAAACCCCGAACCCTAAACCCTCCAAGCCCGCGCCAAGACAAGCAACCTCGGAAGCAAGCATGGCGTCTTCGCAACGGGATTTCATACGAAGGGCAATCCTAAAATCACTCAGACCCTAAACCCTAAACCCCAAACCCTGAACCCTAAACCTCCTAAACTTTAAGGGTTTAGTCTCCGGAAAGCCAGGCCAGTCCTCTTCCTCGAACTTCGGGGGCTTGTTCCTCAGCCGCCGTCCGGCGGTTTGCGGTTTGGGGTTTAGGGTTTAGGGGGCGGTTCGCCTTTGGGGATTTGTTGTAGTACAATAACTGTGGAGACACATAGTCGGGGGTTGGGTGGGCTGGTTCATACATATTTTACGAAGTTGAAAGGTGCCCTAAACTGAACTCCATGAGGGCTTCCGGGTTTCCTGGCAGGGGGTTCGGGCGGACTGATCCCTAAACCCTACGGAAACCCTGCATCCAAACTTCCAAACCCCTGAATCCCAAGCCCTACACCCTAAACCCTAAACCCTAAACCCTAAACCCTAAACGAAGCCTGAGTCGGGTTCTGCGCCCTCTGGCCCCAAGCATGCAGACGAAGCTGCGACACGGAGTGCGTGTGGTCCAGTTTGACGCAGCAAAGGGATGGGCCTTGATGTGATCCTGCCAATTCCGCTAGAGTTTAGGGTTTAGGGTTTAGGGTTTAGGGTTTAGGGTTTAGGGTTTAGGGTTTGGGGTTTAGGGTTTAGGGTTTAGGGTTTAGGGTTTGGGGTTTGGGGTTTGGGGTTTGGGGTTTGGGGTTTAGGGTTTAGGCTTAGTGATTGCTAGGTTCAACGTAAGGAAAATCCAATACAACCCTCTGTGGGGGGGGGGGTACTTATATAGTGACTGCTGGGTTCAAAGTAAGGTAACTCATAGCCCTTTAATACCTGAATAACCCAAAGCAAAACCCTATGTGATGACCCTGCTTACCCTGCTTACCATGAACCATCCTTACCATGAAGTCTAGGCCTCCGCAGCGAAAAAAACATGTTGTACAGCTTAATGGTCAGTTCTCTAAAAGTTCTGGTCCCTTTTTCGGTCGGGTACCTAAATAATAAGGCGGCCGCCTTATAGCAAGGACCCCAAAAGAAACCATAATTTCGATCAGTGACCATATGAGGTAACTAAGAGAGAATCAGGTGTTGGGCTTCCAAGGTAAGCCCCGAACCCTCAGCCCTCCACCCTAAACCCTAAACCAGAAATTCTGTGAGGAGGGATGTTCAGCCGTTAGGCACTTGAGGCCACGTAAGGGCTTGGGGCTTCTAGGGTCTAGAATCTAAACCCTAAACCCTAAGCCCTAAACCCTAGAGGGCTTAGCGTCGGACAGCTTCCGTTGCTTGCGAACAAAACGCTAAGAGCAACCCTCAGGGATGTGTAATTAGGACCCATGAACCCGATAACCGCCAGGGCTTCAGGTTTAGGGTTCATAGGGTGAACCCCTAAACCTCTTGGGGTTGCGGGAGTGTGAATTTTCAGGGTTTAGGGTTTAGGGTTTAGGGCTTAGGGCTTAGGGTTTAGGGCGGCCACCCGTCCGTTGTCGAAGTGGCCGAAGTGCTTCTTGCAGAACTGCTTGCCCTCGCAGTCGTACCGTGAACTCCTGGGGCGGGGGGGGGGGAAGAGGGTGGTATAGGGTTTAGGGTTTAGGGTTAGAGGGTGGTATCAGGGCTCTAGGAGGGGTATAAGGGGGGGGGGGGGGGGTAGAAGGGAGTAACACCGGGGGGAGGGGTCGAGGGATTCATCGAGCTGCCGTTGAGGGGGGGTGGGGGCTCTCGGAAAGCTTCATCTAGAAGAGCCCTAAACCCTAAACCCTAACCCTAAACCCTAAACCCGAAACCCTAAGACTTAGGGTAGTGATTATATGCTGAGGTAGAATCGAATGCTGGAGCCAGCCAAAGGGATATTTTTTTTCGGCCGACCCCCCACTCCCAGCCACACATACGCCAGGGGCCGAAGAGCGCTCGACTGCGCCATGCGCCGCTGAGTGGGGCATGCAGTCCAAACCAACAAACCCAAAACCCAAAACCCTGGGGTTTAGGGTTTAGGGTTTAGGGTTTAGGGTTAAGGGATAAGGCCTACATCCTAAATCCTGAATGCCCGAATGAACAGTCTACCCTAGCCTTTTAAAGCCCAAAGCAATCCTCAGCCAGGGGTTCACCGTGCCGGTTTCAGCTTGACGTGTTCCGTAGGGTCTGCCAGAAAATTGAGGCGTGCAGGGCGCCAACAAGTCTCATGCTGTTTGTCTGCTTCATCAGGGGGGGGTTTAGGAGTTTGAGCTTCGGGTTACTTGGGTCAGGGCTTAGGGTTTTGGGCTGTGGGTTCATTACTTGGGTTAGGGCTTAAGGTGTTGCGGAAATCGTGGCTCTTGCATTCTTGTCTGGTCCTCTGCGCTGGAAAGCAGGAGAAGCAGCCGTCGTAGGAGATCCTCCGTGGCGCTAGGCCCTAAACCCTTTAGGGTTCAGGGTTTAGGGTTTTGAACCAAATAGAATTTCAGGGTTCGGCTTGAGGGTAGCACATCAGCTTGAACAGAAACAACCGGAAGGAAGGCCTCCGCACCACCCTCCCGCCCCGACAGCACGATTCCCAAAGCCGAATACCTAGACTGTAAATCCTCAACCCTAAGCCCTAAATCCCTAAACCCTAAAACCCTGAAACCCTAAAACCACCCTAAAGCCCTAAAACCACCCTGAAGCCCTAAAACCACCCTAAAGCCCTAAAGCCCTGAAGCCCTAAAGCCCTAAAGCCCTAAAGCCCTAAAACCCTAAAACCCTAAAACCCTAAAACCCTAAAAACCCTAAACTCGGTGCATTCCCGAAGGCATGGGGACGGGCCCAATCTGGTGATGCTCGCAGGTGACGTAGGCCGCCATGCGAAAGCCGTTGCAGCCGTGGCAGCAGAGCTGCATCCCACCGCACCTTTAGGGTTTAGGGTTTAGGGCTTAGGGTTTAGGGAACAACTTAAGGCTCAGGACTTTGGGGGCCACCAGGGGGCTGGTAGCCCTAAACCCCAAACCCTAAACCCTAGCCCTAAACCCTAACCCTAAACCCCTTGTCAGGCAAAGGAAACCTCAGCCTACGCCCTGAACCCTACCTTGGCAGGGTTTAAGGTCTAAGCTTTAGGCCTTACCTTGAGAACCACATGAACCCTAAAAGGGTTTATGGTTCATATACCCCAATAAGGATTATAGTAGTATAGGGTATATGGTCCCAATTTTAGGGTTCATTTGGTTCCCAAAATATGTCGCACCTTTATCAATACTGCGTGCTTCGTTTCACTTCTTTTCACTCATTACCAGTATTAATGCTAGACTAATAAGAGAGCACATGATAAGACAAGTGATCTCTAATGTTATATCGCGGGCTCTTCTTGTACTCTGTTGTCCGCACGGCTGTCATATAATATATTGCGGCCACATGGTACCTTTATTCACTGGCCCGTAGAAAAAGCCCACAGAAATGAAATACAAAACATAAGGGCTTGTTCGTACAACCTTAATATTAGTACTGTTAGTACTGTCTTAACCTTCACCTCTCAGAAATAATATTAATGGGGGTTTTCACCCCCGAAAACCCTAAACCCTAAACTGGCCCTAAACCCTTAGCCTACTCCTAGTATGGTATGGATTCTTAAACAGGGTCCCCAAAACCAAAGGTACAACCTCAAGAGTCCAAGGCACCGCCCCATGACCTACACCTCTACCACACCGGATACTTGGAAGCCCAGTAACCATATTATACTAAGAGCACACTGTTGAAAAAGGGAACGCAAACTGCACTAGTTTGATAGACCCCAAAGCGGTTTAGGGTTTGGGGCTTAGGTTTTACGTAGGGCAAACCTAACACTCGAACTCCAAATTCCAAACCCGAAATCCTAAACCCCGGAAGGCTGGGCTAAGACTTGAGCGTCCAATTAATGAGATCCCACGGGAGTCTTCCATGTCCTAAGTCCCTAAACCCCGAGATCAAAACCCTAAACCCTAAATCCCTAAACCCTGAACCCTAAACCCCAAACCCTAAACCGAAGCCTAAACCCTAAACCCTAAACCCCAATCCCTGCAGCTCCCTTCTGCGGGAGAACTCCCAGGGGACAGCCCCTAAACCCTAAACCCTAAACCCTTAACCCCCGAAACCCTGCAGCTCCCCTTATTCGAGGGAACTCCCTAAAACCCTAAACCCTAAACCCTAAACCCTAAACCCTAAACCCTAAAAAACTCCCAGGGGACAGCCTATGCAGTCGGTCCCAGGTCGCGTTGCCGTAGGCCCGCTGTGCCTCGCGCAGCAGCATGGACCGGGCCTGTCTGGAGGTCTAAGGGTTTCGGGTTTAGGGTTTAGGGTTTGGGGTTTAGGGTGTGGGGCCCTGTGACAACCCCCCCACCGCCCCCCAACAAAAGAGTGGTGGGGTTTAGGGTGTATAGGGTTTAGGGTTTAGGGTTTAGGGTTTAGGGCTTAGGGCTCAGGGCTTAGGGCTTAAGGCTTGCAGTTGAGAAGGTAGTCCATGAGGCTGCGGCTGTGGGTTTGAGGGACTTGAAACTCTTCCGGAGCTCTAAACCCTAAACCCTGAACCCTAAACCCAGCAGGGCTCTCACCTAAGACCGCCTCCTGTTGAAGCCCGCAATCTAGCTGAACCCTACACCCTAAACCACAAACCCCAAACCCGAAACCCTAAACCCCAAACCCTAAACCCTAAACCTAAACCCCAAACCCTAAACCCTAAAACCGTAAAACCCTAAACCATGCTCGGCCTCCTCAACCCCAAAGCCTTTGGCAACCTTGAGCCGGCCTGCTTGTCGCAGCTCACTTGCGCCAGCTCGGCGCCCACCCCGGCGAGAGGGTCCATCAGCTCGCCTTGGTTCATTTATTAACCCAAGGGTTTAGTGCTTTAGGGTTTAGGCTGTTAGGGTTTAGGATTTTAGGGTTAATAACCCAAGGGTTTAGGGCTTTAGGGTCTAGGCTTTTAGGGTTTAGGATTTTTAGGGCCATTAAATCAAGGGTTTAGGGCTTTAGGGTCTAGGCTTTTAGGGTTTTAGGGTTTAGGGCTCATCCCCCGACCTGAACCCTAACCCCTCAAAACCGCCCTAACCACTCGACCCTAAAACCCCAAAGCCCCAAGCTCCAACAAACCCTACCGGGACTCTATTTACCTACAGTTTAGTAGAAACTACCCCTTAATTCATAGGCATAACCCATGAAACTGTCGCCAAAGAGAGTCCCAGGTCAACCCTAAACCCTAAACCCTAAACCCTAAACCCTAAACCCCCAAACCCTAAAACCCAAAACCCCTAAACCTTCTGTGTCTTCCCTGCGCCCCAGTGGCAGATGCCCATGTGGCAGGACCCTAAACCCCCTAAACCCCTAAAACCCTAAAACCCTAAACCCTAAACCCCCCTAAAACCCTAAAACCCTAAAACCCCAAACCTTCTGTTTTTCCCTGCGCCCCAGTGGCAAATGCCCATGTGGCAGGACTTGAGCTGCGTCGTGACCAGACCCGGGCCTGGGATCTCAGGCTCGGGGGCGACTGTCGGGGAGTTTGAGGGGTTTAGGGTTTAGGGTTTAGGGTTTAGGGTTTAGGGTTTGGGGTGTGGGGTTTAGGGGTTGGGAAGTTTAGGGTTTAGGGTTAAGGGTTTAGGGTGTAGGGTTTCGGCTTTAAGGTTCTGGGTTGAGGCTTAGGTTCTGGGGCTTGCAGTATGATATGGAGTTTAGTGTTAGGGTTACGGTACAAGGACGGGTTTAGCGCCTAGGGTTGGGAGTTGGGATGCTTGTTTGTGTGTGTGTGTGTGTCTGTGTGTAAGAGCCATAAGTTCTGCTTCCCCAGACCCCCTGCAGCACTTCATGCGTAAAAACTCAGTAACATACTACGGCCCCTTCAAGCTTCAACAGGGAAGTGCACCGCGACAAGGCCCGAATGAGCCCCGAAAAAAAACTTGCATTTAGAACATGGCCATTTTAACCCCAAAGCCTTGAACGTGGGAGTCCTTTAAACCCTAAACCCTAAACCCTAAACCCTAAACCCTAAACCCTATACGCAAAGAGGGGGGGCGAGTTTGGGGTGTGGTGTTCAGGGGGAACCTTAGGGAAGCTTAGGGAGCCTTAGGGAGTATTAGGGAACCTTGAACCTCCCTCCCTTAAGGACCCTATAATATCAGGGGGGCTGACCAAACCATACACCCCAAATCCCCGAAAACCTAAAACCCCAAAGCCGAAACCTCTAAAACAAACTCTCCGACCCTAAACCTCAGAAAAACATCGAACCCCTAAACCCTAAACCCTAAACCCTAAACCCTAAACCCTACATTAACCCTAAACCCTAAACCCTAGACCCTAAACCCTAAACCCCCCAAGTCTCTAGACTCCGAGGAGCACTGACCGAAGGTCTTGGTGCGGTAACGGTGTGACAGGCCTCTTCCTTGCAGCTCAGAGCGATGCAAAGGGGGGGGGGGGGTTGAAAACTGGTTACAATTGTTGGTTGCAAAAACAACATTAAACAACAATAAAACAACAATAAAACAACTTGGTATGGTTATATATCTTTATGTGTGTCAAACACTGAAGTAATGTGTATACGCCAATGTTGGTTTGATCATCAATTGACATAAATGTACCACAATTATGATATAATATACCAATAAAAGTCCATGAAAAAACACGAACATGTTGTCACATTGTTCAATTTATTGAGTTTGAATGTTTTTGTTTGATAAAGAATACAATATATTTGATGATCTTTGTAAACTTTATTTACATTCATATCATTATTTGATTCTACATATTGTGCACCATATTCTTCATCAATTGTATCATATATATTTTTTAACCTCTGTTTTTTCAATAAACTTTTTAAAAAATATATTTAAAATATAATTCTATCAAAAAAACAGAGTGTTTTTATATTTATATTTTTGCATAAAAAACAGTTATATATTAGTCGAACCAAGTTTCTCTTACAATTATGCTGTTTGTTTGTTTATCATTACACATGTCTAACCATTTGGAGATATTATGTTGCTATGAGTAAGCTTGGTTCTGTAATCTAAACTTGAGTTTGTAACTTGTGTATCTCTTTGATAAATTATGGCTTAATTCCGTCAATGATCTTTAAAATCAAAAATTAAATAAAAAAAATTCTAAATATAATTAAATTGTGTTAAGACTATCTTGTTTTTAGTAATGTTTAGCGATATGAGAAGATAGGGATCCCTGTTAAAAAATAGTTTGAACACCTCTATTTTTTAATGATGTTGTTCCCGGCTATGTACACGTATTGGCACGAGCCTATCCGATATATAATCGTTTTTACTTTTATCAACTTATAAGTCTTGTCCGTGGGTAGGGGGTATAAGGGGGTGCCAGGGGGGTTGCGAGGGGGGTTGTAAAGGGGGTATAAGGGGCGGGCATGGGTGTTTAGAGATTAGGCTGTAGAATGATTGCGTTGAACAAATCACAAAAGCACAACCTACTACGTAGTTGCCTCGTCCATAACCGTAAAATTCCAAACCCTAAACAACCCTAAGCCCCCTAAACCCCTAAGCCCCTAAACCACTACACCCCAAAGCCCTACAAAGCTTTTGGCCCCTGAACCCTAAACTCCAAACCCTGAACCCCTACATCCCTACGTAAGCCCTACAAAGCAGTTGGCCCCTGAACCCTAAACCCTAAACCCTAAACCCTAAACCCTAAACCCTAAACCCTAAACCCTAAATCCTAAACCCTAGTGTGTTAGGGTCCCGGCCACAGGGCGGGGCTCCTGGCAAGGCCGGCGCGCAGGAGGTCCAGGCACTCCACCTGGGGTTTAGGGCTAAGGGTTTAAGGGGGTTCAGGGTTTAGGGTTTAGGGTTTAGGGTTTGGGTTTAGGGTTTCGGGTTTAGGGCTAAGGGTTTGGGGTTTACAGGGTTTGTTTTATAGGGTTTATAGGGTTTATAGGGTTTACGGTCTAGAGTTTAGGGGGTTCACGGGGTTTAGGGTCAAGGGTTTCAGATTGAATCAGCGGTTTAGGAGAAGTCTTGGGTTCCGGATTCCGTGTTCAAGGGCTCATGACGCCGGAGGGTGCTGATGCCCTTGTTAAGGACTGTTAGTATAAGGGGAAACATCCTAAGCAACCTCAAACACCTCCCTGCCCCATGCCCCCAGCGCGACGGCTGGCAGAAGCCCCCGCAGCCCGGAAGCCCCAAACCCGCAACCCGAAGATCTCCAAGATTCCGGATGAACATTTTGGGATTAGGGTTTATGGTTTATAGGGGTTATAGGGGCTATAGGGTTTATAGGGTTTATAGGGTTTATAGGGTTTATAGGGTTTATAGGGATTATAGAGTTTATAGGGTTTATAGGGTTTAGGGTTCAGGGTTTCGGGTTTATAGGGTTTAGAACTTATAGGGTTTAGGGTTTAGGGTTTAGGGTTTAGGGTTTAGGGTTTAGGGTTTAGGGTTTAGGGTTTAGGTTAAACAAAAAGCACACCCAAACTCCGAATCCTTATAAGGACATGCAGGAACCTGATGGCTAGGATGCCGGTACCCTGAAGGGGCTTAGGGTTTAGGGTTTAGGGTTTGGGGTTTAGGGTTTAGGGTTTAGGGTTTAGGGTTTAGGGTTTAGGGTTAGGCCCCTGGAAACGTGGAGCCTTGACGGACCAAAGGCAAACTTAGTTGTCCAGTAACCTGGGGGAACTAAAGGTTAACCTTTGGGATAATAAGGGGAGTATACTAACCCAAAAAGGTTAAAGGTTACCTGCCCTACTACTAGGCAAAAAAACACACAAGAACCATAACTACTCCCCTGAGAACCATGGCCATTATGTTGCAAGGGGGTGTTCCAAACAGGAACAAAAAGCAAAGACCCTGAATGCTCAACCCTATCCCTAGCCCCAAAACCCTGAACCCTGAACCCTGAACCCTTCAAGCCCTAAACCCTAAACCCTAAACCCTAAACCCTAAACCTTAGATGACCTGAAGCCTGTCTCGGGTCCCCGACTCCGTGCAGAAGCAGAACTTCACCCACAAGGTGATCCTTTGAAGGTTGTGAAAGACTTGAGGTTCAGGGTTTAGGGTTTAGGGTTTAGGGCTTAGGGTTTAGGGTTTAGGGAGTTTAGGGTTTATTGGGGGTATAGGGTTTAGGGTTTAGGGGGGTTAGGGGGTTTAGGGCTTAAAGGGGGTTAATGGGGTTCAGGGTGTTTGGGGTTTAGGGGTTTCAAAAGGGTTTTCGGGTTTAGCCCATCTCACAGGATTCTCAAGTCACGCACCTATGCGGTACACCCTAAATTCAACCCTAAACCCTAAACCCTAGCCCTAAACCCTAAACCCTAAACCCTAAACCCGGAACCCTTTGAGCCGAAGCGACAGAGATGCCATCAAGGCTGTGAGTAGAGCCAGGCGTGGGCCCCACTTCACCAGGACCTTCCGCAAGCGGTCCCAGTTGATGGCGTCCTGCCATCAGGCAAGCCCAGCATTCCCGTAAGTTGTTTAGGGTTTAGGGTTTAGGGTTTAGGGTTTAGGGTTTAGGGTTTCGTAGGGTGCAGGGTTTAGGGTCAACTCCTCGGGCAACCCTAAAACCGAACACTACACACTCCGAGGTCCCCCTGTTTACCTGGAGTTTAGTAGCAACTACCCCTTAATGACTAGGTACCCCTATACCCTAAACCCTAAACCCATCAAACCGTAGGTAAACAGAGTCCCTGGCTAAAGCAAAAAAAACCCAAAACCCTAAACCCTAAACCCTAAAACTCCAAAACCAATTCTTGGGGAGTGCCTTCTTCTCTACGGCGCCCTCCTCCTGCGAGCCGCCAAGCAGCCTCTGCTACAGAAACTCGGTTATGTTATTCTTGTTGTTTGTTCTTTGGTTGTTGTTTGTTTCTTGTTTTTGTTTTTGTTGTTTTTTGTTTCTTTTTATGTTTTATTTTTTGTTGTTTTGTTTTTCTTTGTTTGTTTTTGTTTGATTTTTGTTTTTTCTCTTTGCTTGTTTGTTGTTTGTTTTGTTTTTGTGGGGGGGGGGGGGGGGTTTGGGGCGTGGGGCCTCGGCAGGTGGCAGAAATGGCGTTTAGGGCTGAGGGTTTGAAGGAAAACCTGCATGTGGGGAGCCGCCCGAGGCCCAAATCCTAAGCCAGAAGCCTCGAGTTAAAACATTGACCCTAAACACTGTGTCACAACCCTAAACCCTAAACCCTAAACCCTAAACCCTAAAGCCTACAACCTAAACCCTAAACCCTAAACCCTAAACGCTAAACCCTAAACCCTAAACCCTATAAACCCAAAACCTTAAACCAGTTGGGTTTAGAGTTTGTTAAAGGACTCTTACCTTGCATTGAACCCCTACAGACCAGAAACTGAAAAAGGCAGCTTACAGCGCCTACAAACCCTGAGGGTTAAGTGTTTCCTGTTTACAGTAAACTCCACAAAAGTACTGGAAATCCTGCAAAGCCCGTACATCAAGCCAACACACTGCCCTGACATCGTTCAGCACCTAGACTCTTAACCCCTAAACTCCCAAACCCCTAAAACCCTAACCCATGTAGCCTTGGGGACGGAACGGGAAATAACCGGAAATTGGGATGACAAACCCCTCGGCCCAGTCACGGCGTTGTCTCCTTGGCCTGTCCACCCCCCAAAGGGTTGAGGGATTCGGGCTGCGGTTGAGGGTTTCAGGAACAAACTCTAAACCCTAAATCCTAAACCCGAAACCATGCAGAGGCCCCAAAGTAGTCTCAGTATCTGCTCTATGGGCGCAGGGATGTTAGAGTTCATCAAGGGACTCTACCCTGGACGCCTACTTGGAGGTTCATTGGCACTTGTAACCCCAAGTACAAGGTTTAGGGTTTAGGGTACTTATAACCCCAATATAAGTCTATTTATGACCTACTTAGAAGACTTAGGGGGCTTGTAGGTGCAGTTCTAGTTGTGTTTACAAGTACCCTGGACCTCAAGTAAAGTTGTACCCTTGGGTCTCAGGGTAGTTCCATGGTCCCTTAACGTGGTCCCTTACCTCCTTTAAAGGGTTCTGAATGGGTTTTTCGGGAGTATATAAGGGCTCCCCTTGAAAGGGCCCATTCCAAGGACCATGTACCTACTATAAGAAAGGGACTCTACCTGGGGCTTTGGGTGTTGTGGCATTGTTGTTGAAGATCATGCAAAGCCCTAGATAACCCTCCCACGATTTGCCCAAAAACCCACACCCTGAACCCAGGGTTGAGGATTTAGGGTGAACCCCTAAACCCCTAAACCCTCAACCCTAAACCCCAAACCCTAAACCGCCGAAACCCTAAACCCCAGTCCCGTTTAAGCCCTAAGCTACAAAGCAAAAGAAAAACAGGGCACAGTACCACTGGCGGGCCGAGGGGGGGGGGGGGGGGGGGGGCGGGTTGGGGCCCCTAGGGGGCAGGGGCCACGCCCTTGCTCTGAAGCCCTGAATGTAGAGGTCTAGGGTTTAGGGTTTAGGGTTTGGGGCTTAGGGTTTAGCGCTTCGGGCTTCGAAGGCTTTACGGGCAGAAGACTGTCCTCCACGCTGCCGCTCTGCGTCGCACTGGAGGTCGACTGCGACTGCGACTGGGACTGGGAGGAGGAGTTCGCCTCTTACGCTTAGGGCTTTACAGGTTTAGGGTTGAAGGGTTTAAAGTTTAGGGTATAGGGTATAGGGTTTAGGATGTAGGGTTTAGGGTTGTCGGTTAGGGTTGAGGGGTTGAGGGTTTTTAGGGTTTGAGGGTTGAGGGGTTTAAGGGTTTGGGTCTAAGCAGAAAAGGCTTGGGGGGGTTAAGGGTTCAAGGGGTGAGTCTTAGGGGTTCGAAGGGCTTGGGAGCTTAGGGTTCTGGATCTAGGGATGCTACAGACCAATGGTTTACTAGTACCTACCTCTTAACTCGTAGGTAGAACCCAAAAATAAAACTGTAAAGCCTTGGGTCTATGCACCAAAAAGTTCTCCGAAGGGCTCTTTGCAACTGCAGCCGAAGACGATGAAGGAATCTCGTCTTCCGAAGATACTTCGATTGCAGCTTCTTGTCCCTGAGACCACGGAGCAGCTTGAGGGACGCGTAGCACAGCTCGATAAGTGCCGTCCGGCCTTCTGAACGGAACGCTGTCCGCGTCTGTGTGAAGGCCCGCACTTTCAGCCCGAGTGAAAACCTAGCGCTGCCAGGCCTGGCGTTTACGCCGGGCCGATTTCCCCGCCCTGGAGCCCCTCTGAGACTGTTGTCGAGAAGCTCTGAGGACCGAGGAGGGTTGTTGTCCATAGGACTTGCTACAACGCTGAAATAAGGCAAAGCACTACGGCTGAAAACCAGTTGAACAGATCGACCACTGGGAAGGGGCCAACAGAGAGATTCCCAGAAACAACATCATATTAGAGATGCAACTTAGCAACTGCAGGAAGCCCCACGTCTACTTACCGGAGGATTGCTTTCGGGGTTCTTCATTAGGTGGGGAGTTGAAGCAGCAATCCGTGGGTTGCCTGAACTCCGTCGCTTAAGGGTTTAGGGGTTTGGGGTTTGGGGTTTAGGGTTTAGGGCTACGATCGCATGGTGCCCCCACAGCCTGCTCTGAAGCACTGAAGCCGAACGGATCAGCCTCCATGCCAACTAGTATCCTGTAATCACCACCAGAACTCAAAACCCTTACCCCACGGCCCTAACCCCTAAGTCCCAAACCCTAAACCCCAAACCTGAACCCCAAACCCCAAACCCCAAACCCTAAACCCTAAACCCGAAACCCTAAACCCCCCATAACTAAGCACAGGTAAGATGGGCCCCCAGGTAGCCCTCTTAAAGGCCAGGCCTTCGAGGCGGAGTCGCTGGCAGAGGAGGAGGAACCTCTGCAGGCTTCACAGAGGGTTTAGGGTTTAGGGTTTAGGGTTTAGGGTTTAGGGCTTAGGGCTTGAAGGGAGGGTTTGGGGTTTAGGGCTTGAAGGGCTTAGGGTTTGGTTTGAGGGATTTGGCTTCGTGGTTCCCAAGGTTCCCCAAAAGGAATCTTAAGAACCCCCACAACATATGAAAGATAAGGAAGACTTCTGCTATTGGGGGGGGACTCCTAAGCAAACGCTTGAAAAATCCTGGTGGTACTTCTAAACCCTAAACCCTAAACCCTAAACCCTAAACCCTAAACCCTAAACCCTAGACCGCAAAGCCCGACATGAACTTGCTAACAAGCCAAGGAGCTGCTAGAAGAGCTGGCACCGTCGTCCTCTTGGCTGGGTTCAAGGGTTTAGGGTTTAGGGTTTAGGGTTCAGGGTGCGAAGCCGTAGAAGACCTAAACCCTGTAACCTTAAATCCAAAACCCTTCACCCAAAAACCCCGAGACCCCGAACGCTGGTTCCACTATTGAGGTTTACCCTAAACCCTAAACCCTAAACCCCCAGCGCGCCTCGCCACGACAGGTAGGACTCTGGGTGCCCTAAAGACCAAAACCATTCAACCCCCCAAACCCTACATGTATAGTTCAAGAGTTCTCTAAATTAGGGTTTAGGGTTTAGGGTTTGGGGTTTAGGGTTTAGGGTTTAGAGGATCCCTTTTATGTAAAGGGTGCCACCTTATTCTGGGCACACAAAAAGCGGCTTAATTAGTTCGGAAACCACCGCAATCCCAAACCCGAACCCCCAAAACCCTGAACCCCCTGAACCCCAAAACCTAACCCCTAAACCCCTAAACCCTAAACCCAAAACCCAAAACCCAAAACCCAAAACCCTAAACCCTAAACCCTAAACCCTAAACCCCCAAGGTGTCCTCCTTGGACTCTTTGGATTCCTGGGACTCCTTGGACTCCTTGGAATCCTTGAACTCCTTGGAGGACTCCTCGCAAAGGGAACTGGCGAGCTGCGCTTCAAGGGCTTGGAGTTTAGGGTTTAGGGTTTGGGGTTTAGGGTTTGGAGTTTAGGGTTTAGGGTTTGGGGTTTAGGGGTTTAGGGGTTTAGGGTTTAGGGTTTAGGGTTTGGGGTTTAGGGTTTAGGGTTTGGGGTTTGGGGTTTAGGGTTTAGGGTTTGGGGTTTGGGGTTTAGGGTTTAGGGTTTGGGGTTTAGGGCCAGGGGTTTGGGGCTTGAAGCTTTCGCTGCGCGTGCACTTCGACCCTCTGCATTTGCTCGGCGCATGCGCGTGAGCTGCCATGCCCGCATTCCCACCCAAATTACAAACCTTGGACGGGCGTAGGGTTCAGGGTTTAGGGTTTAGGGTTTAGGGTTTAGGATTTAGGGTTGAAGGTTGTCCCCGCCCAACACAGTGGGGATAGATGGAAGGACACCAGTAGACATGTACCCTACCTACTCCACTCTCCCTGATGTCATGGGTACACTAGGGTGGGTACTACTAGCATGGGTACACTAGGCCCCCTCCCCAGTATCAAGTGGGGGAGATATGGTTGGGTGAGGCAATCGCCAAGCCTAGCGCCAGGAGCAGGCAAGTTCATTTGTATTCATGACAGAAGCCCAAGTGCAGCATTTGGGAAAGCAAGAGGTTGGAAATTGCTTAGGGGCTTCTATAGTCCAAGTGCCAAGATGGACGTAAGATGTGTGCCGCCACGGCTTTCAGGGGCTTTGAGGGCACTTAAGGCTTCTTGGGCTTAGGGGATTCTTTCGAGGCTTGGCTACCTTAAACCCTGAGCCGGAAAACTTGGGCCCCCTGTAGCCCAGGCAAGCACTATGCTCCGAACCCCTGACCCCTCCACCCCCAAAACCCTAAACCCTAAACCCTAAACCCGAAACCCTAAACCCTAAACCCCAAACCCTAAACCCTAAACCCGAAACCCCAAACGCCAAAACCCTAAACCCTAAACCCTAAACCCCAAACCCCAAACCCGAAACCCTAAACCCCAAAACCCTAAACCCCAAACCCCTAAACCCAAGGAAGGGAGGATATCCACCCCGTCCTGACTCTCGGGGAAACTCTCGCTGACCATCGCCCGCTCCTGCCTGCAGCAGGGTGTTGCAGCGGCGTTGAGGGGTTTCTTCAGGGGTCTTAGGGTGCGGGGATATGCCTGACCACGAATCTCTGTCAAACGAAAGCCTCCAAGTGAACCCTCTAAACTCTAAACCCCGAACCCAAAACCCCAACCGGCAGGATCGGAACAAACCAAACCTGGCATTGAGGGAGGTGTTCAACGCTGCATGAGGGGGATGCCTGGTCAAGCCCCCCTTTCAACCCGAAACCCAAATCCTAACGCGGAGTACTGCAACATGGAATACAACTATTTGCTTAAGGACCCCCTGAAACTTAAGACAATTGTCCCCTACAGAAAGCCCTAAATTGCCCACATAAACAACAATCTGTGGTTCTTAAGCAAATGGTAGAATATGTGATCACAAGCTGAGGGTACATCTCGTTTTCAAGGTCAGAGACCCCTCAGCCCTAAGCCCAAAAGCCCCCGACTTAAACGCGCAAGACGAAGTGTCAGGGCCCTATATATACCCTGTAAGGGATTCTCTAGAGCCCTTATTCCCTCATTCCCTACTAAGGACCAGCCGGACAGTGCACATGAGGATTTGGGGAGACTCAGTTTTCCGGTTTGGGTTTTAAGGGGGTTGAACTTACTTGGGGTTGGGGTCCGGGGGGGGGGGGGGGGTTAAAGGGCTTCAGGTTTAGGGGAAAATAGCCGAACCTGGAGAGCAGACTGTACGGGATTTGGCATCAGCTCACATGTTGGACGGTTGCAGGAGTTTAGGCGGTTGAGGATTTCGGGTTCTGGAAAAAATGAGGGAGCGCGTTAGGCAAAGTTGCAAAGCTCCATACTACAGCCAACAGCGGCTGATAACTTCGGCCAGCCCCAAAGCCCGACTCCCAGAAGCTTAAACTTAAACCCTTCAAGCCCTAAATTTGCGATGTTCCCCGCCTATGCTAACAGTCCTTAATGGGGATTCTAGTACCCCCCCCCTATTATCATCCCAATTAAGGAGCTGTTAGTATAAGGGCGACCATCCCCAACCCTAAGCCCTAAACTCAAAAGCCTCTCCCGGAGCCCTCAAACACCAAGCCCGAATCGATGTCGTCGATGTCGCCCTAAACCCTAAACCCCAAACCCTAAACCCTAAACCCCAAACCCTAAACCCCAAACCCTAAACCCCAAACCCCAAACGCCAAACCCTGGCGCCTCCTCGGGGCTGCAGACTTTCCCTGGCGCTCTTCCTCACGCGCAGCGCAGAGGAAGGAAGGCTTGGACTTTAGGGTTTCGGGCCCAGGCTTCCTAAGCCCCCGAAACCCTAAACCCTAAACCCTAAACCCTAAACCCTAAACCCTAAACCCTAAACCCTAAACCCTAAACCCCAACCCTGAGTCCCAAGCCCGATTAGCCCTAAACCCTAAGCCCCAAACCCTAAACCCTACGTGCCAATCTCGATGATGCGATTCCGAAGAGTCATGTACAATCTGTACAGCCGACGGTCAGTGTGATCCTCAACCATTGTGTTTGATAGACCCAGGAGTAACCTAGGAAAAAAGGGTACCCGTTTTGGCTTCAAGGGGCTTATAAGGGAACCTACACCCTAAAAACAGGGAATAAGGGCCGTCTCCGGGTCCTAGGAGGGAAACCCAACCCGAAACAAAAGGGGAACAAGGGCCTACCCCGGGTCCTAGTTACGAAACCCTGAACCCTAAACCCTAAACCCTAAACCCAAAACCTCGACGAACGTTTCGTTGAAGTTCGGCGATGACCTGGCCAACCACAACTGGCTGCACTGGAGAGCCGGATGCCAGAACAAATTGAAGCCACTCTGTCGATCAACTCGGTACATCTGAGCACCTAACCCTAAACCCTAAACCCGAAACCCTAAACCCTAAACCCCAAACCTAAACCCTAAACCCTAAATAAACCCTAAACCCTGAACCCTAACTCCTAAAACCAAAACCTCAGACCCTAAACCCCAAAACCCGACACTTGTGGGAAGCACCTGCGAGGTCTGTCCTGGCGGCCGAGCTCCAGGACATCCTCGGACTCCTGGCAAGGAGTTTGGACAATCCTCATCTACCCTAGAGGGTTTAGGGTTTAGGGTTTAGGGCTTAGGGCTTCGGGCTTGGGGCTTGGGGCTTGGGGCTTGGGGCTCAGGGTTGGGGTTTGGGGTTCAAAGTAACTTTAAGCCTCTAAGTCTCTCTAACCTCCAAACCTCGAAGCCCTCAGCCCTGAACCTGAAACAACTTAACCGAGATGTTCAAAAGCGCCTAAGCATTCTGACTTTAGGCTTTGCCTTGCGGGTCCCTCTAACTTCCCCGATGCCAATACAAGGTAGCCAAGCAGACACGACCGCACCTCAGGGCTTCGGGTTTAGGGCTTAGGGCTTAGGGTTCTTACTTCCCCAATGCCCCAATCAAGGAACTCAAAGCCTAATAAGCTTGGAGCTTCAACTTTCTGCTTCCCTGAAACCTCACTCTCATCCGCCGGGTTTCAGGGTTTAGGGTTTAGGGTTTAGGGTTTGGGGTTTAGGGTTTAGGGGGCCTAAACTTAGATCCTTAACCCGTATCAACGCCAAACCTCAAATGCCAGGCTACCAAGACGCGGCGACATGACGTAAAACCCCTCCCTACATAAGCCCCATGCTAAACTTAGCGTCTGTGAAGCACGCGCTGAACCATGATTACTTGGGATGTTCCCCCTTCTACTAACAGTCCTTAATTGGAACTGTGAACAGGGTGCCATACTCCCAATTAAGGAGTGAGTACATCCCAACCCTCAATGCTAATACCTGAGCCCTAAACCCCAGATACCTTAAATCTGAAGCATTTAAATACCCTAAGCAATGGACCCCCCGAAAGGCACAGAGGCGACGGCAGACTTCTGGAACCATCCCATCCCCCCCCCCAAAAAAAAAAACTAATTAAACTCAAGACCGCTAGAGTCCCCTACCCTAAAGCCCAAACCCAGAAAAGCCCGAAAGCCCCAACCCGAAACCCTAAACCCTAAACCCTCAAGCCCCTAAAGACCCAAAGATCCGCAAAGCCCAAAAACCCAAAACGCTAAAAAAGGGTTTAGGGTTTAGGGTTTAGGGCGCCCGAACTTCTAAATCCCCTGAAACCCAAAAACCCTGACTGAAACCCTGATCCTAAAGCCCTAAAGCCCGTAAAGCCCTAAACCCGAAAGCCCGCAACCGCCAAAACTCCTAAAGCCCTCAAAGCCCCCAAAAAGCCCTAAAACCCCTAAGCTTCAGATTTGGGACCAAAATCCCCTGAAGCCCTCAAAACCTAAACCCTAAACCCTAAACCCTAAACCCTAAACCCTAAACCCTAAACTACGTTGGGGGGCGGCGCTTAAGCGCTCTGACCTCGATCGAGGTGGCACAAGCCGACCCAGATCGCTCGCCCGCCTCCCACAGCATGGGGGTCGGTAGCGCCCGTGATCAGTCCGGTACCGGAACACGTTCGAGGACCAGTACTGGTCCCTTAACCCCAAACCCCACCCCCCGACCCTGCCGCAGCATGCTCAGGGACCAGGGGGCCTCAGGCCGACCCAGGCAGGGCGGGTGCGGTTTTTCTGTGGGACTTGTGGCCTGGCTCCCCGACCCCCCTGACCCCCCTGGCCCCCCTGGGCCCCCCTGGCCCCCCTGGGCCCCCCTGGCCCCCCCTCCCCCCTGGCCCCACAGATTTCTGGCCCCTTTTCCCCTCCTTGTTTGTCTGGCTCTCTGTTTGTGGTTCGGCCGGCCCCCCTGGCCCCCTGGCCCGGCTTCGGGGCCTCTATCTTACCTTCGAGACCTTGCTGGCACCCTTGACTCTCGGATTCAACCAACATCAAAGTTTTGAAGAGTGGACTGTCGTCTGAGTTTAGGCCTAAACCCCAAAAGGAATAGGTTTGGGTGGCTTTGCCGCCTTGGACGGCGTGGGGTGGGAGCAAAGTGTTTAGATGGCCCTCCACAATCGGGCCAAAGCTGCTCTTCAGCACCTCACGAAGCTTTCGAGCTTGTGCCGAAACCTAACCTTCACAGCATCTACGCCCTGTCACAGCAAACCCAAACCCTAAACCAAAAACCCTAAAACCTTAACCCTAAACCCTAAACCCTAAACCCTAAACCCTAAACCCTAAACCCTAAACTAAGTACCCTGAAGCCCTCAAAAGCCCCGAAAGCCTCCTGCTCGCCGGCGCTGCGGGCTCCGCCGATCTCCTCTTTTGGGGTCGAGGACCCCCTGGAGCGCTTGAGGAGCTCTGGGGGCTTTAGGGTTTAGGGTTTAGGGTTTAGGGTTTAGGGTTTGGGTAGGGTTTAGGGTTGGGGGTGTTTGGGTTTTAGACAAGTTTTAGACGCAAAAGGTTTTTGGGTTTAGGGTGGTTCTGGGGGCCTTGGGGGCCGGGCTGCTTAGTGTTTTTTTGGGCTTGGGTTTTTGGGGTTCTAGGGTTGTTGCGGTCTAGGGCTTGTGGGTCTCCCCCAAATCATCACTCTAGCAAAATAGGGCTTGGGGGATAACATCCCCAACGACGTCAACCTATGTAAAGCAGAACCGAGCCATACATAACCGGAGAGGTCCGCATGCAAACCCTAAACCCTAAACCCTAAGCCCTAATGTATCCTGCGCTCTGTCGCCCCCAGTGGGCGCCTCAACCCTACGCACGTATACTGAGGCTCGAAACCCAGGAACCTTCACAGCATACCCCAAACCCTAAGCCCTACAAACCCTGAAGCCTACCCTAACAAAAATCCCCAACCTCCCACCCCTCCTCCCCTCCCCACTCGACGTAGAAAAACCCCGAACATTATGCGCTCGGAGCCTTAACAAGCCCAAAATGGTTTAGGCTTTACTTGCAGGGTTTACAGGGTTGACAGGTTTAGGGTGAGGTCCTCATCCCAAGGGCCCTCGCTGGGCAAAGACTCTCCCGATCGCTGAGACCCCGCGAGGCGCGCATACAGCGTCTTCTTGTGCATGGCGCAGGAGGCCCTAAACCCTAAACCCTAAGTCCTAAACCCTAAACCCTGAAACCTTAACCCTAAACCCTAAACCCTAAAAACACTAAACCCTAAAACCCTGCAAACCCTAAACCCTTCACCCTGTAAACCCTAGAAACCCTAGAAACCCTAAGCTCTCAATCGGCAAGCCCGCGAGGCGTAAGCCCGCAAACGCACAAGCTCCTGCTGCCCATAAGCTCTTCGACCCAAGGGTTTAGGGTTTAGGGTTTAGGGTTTAGGGTTTAGGGTTTAGGGTTTAGGGTTTAGGGTTAGACCCTTGAGCCCTAGAACCTTAAGCACTTAACACCCCCAAGTATCACTCGCAGGGGGGGGGTTCCCGAAGTTCTGGGTACCTTATGGGGGTCCTTATTCAACCCTAAACCCTAAACCCTAAACCCCAAAGCCTAGTATTTGGGGGCCCCCTACTTTTCGTAACAATAGGGCTTTATGGGCAAAAGGCTTCAGGTTACAGGCTTAGGAGTCCCTTAAGCCTACGTAACCCTAAAGGCCTAAAACCCTCAAACCCTCAATCCCTAAACCCTAGCCCTAAACCCTAAACCCTAAACCCTAAACCCTAAACCCTAAACCCTAAACCCTAAACCCTAAAGCTCTAACCTCAGCCATGGCCACGAGGAGCGGGACGCGCGAGGAAGCAGAAGCTGTTCTGAGAAGCGCGGCCCTCATCCGCAAACTCGAGAGTTCCATGCCCCCTAGGGTTTAGGGTTTAGGGTTTAGGGTTTAGGGTTTAGGGTTTAGGGTTTAGGGTTTAGGGTTTAGGGTTTAGGGTTTAGGGTTTAGGGTTAGGGTCTATGTTGCTGTTCTTGGTAGTTCTTTGTAGTGTATACATGGGGTGTCTTTTAGAGATTCTTGAGATAAAGTGCCACCTTATGTAATCAAACCCCTACGGCCCTAAACCCTAAACCTAAACCCTAAACCCTAAACACCTAAACTCTAAACCCTAAACGCTTAGGCCGTACAAATCGCAGGGTCTCGGGGTAGCCTCGGCCCACCCGCAAGAAGGAATCTCAGAGACTAGGGTTTAGGGTTTAGGGTTTACGGCTTGGGGGTTGAAAGGGTTTAGGGTTTAGGGTACCTGAAACCCTGAACACTGAAATGCCTGAAACTTAGGGGACTCGGGTTTAGTTTGTTGGATTGGAGGGTTTAGGGTTTAGGGTTTAGGGTTTCGGGTTTAGGGTTGGGGGATTTCGGGGGTTTACGGAAGGGGTCTAGGAGCTTCATGCTGGGGGGTTTGAGTGCCTCCGGTGGTCCAAGACCCCCAAGCCAGCTAAACATATGGATCCCTCAGCAAGAAGCCTAAACCCTGACGCCCTAAACCTCCAGAAATCCAATGCAACCCTAAACCCTAAACCCTAAACCCCAAACCCTAAACCCTAAACTCCGTAGCGAAGCCCTGGGCTTGTCCCCCCCCCTCCCCTCGCCCTGGGAAGAGGTCTCCCTCTCCACGCACACAGACAAATATTGGGTTTAGGGTTTCGGGTTTAGGGTTTTGGGAGGTCTAGTGTTTGGGGTTTAGGGCTTGGGGTTGGGGGGGGGTTGAGGGTTTAGGTAGGGCTACGCCCTACTAAACCCCAAGCCAACAGAAGCAAGTGAAACCCCCAACCAGAGTACAAGCCAGCGATGCAGACTTTCTGCAGGGATTAGGGTTTGGGGCTTAGGGCTATAGACCCTCGCCAGAAGACTTGCAGCCCGAACCAGAAAACATCCCCCCCGGCCCCCCCGACAACTTTCCGAACCATCAAGCCACGATCCCTAACCCCTAATCCCAAACCCCAAACCCCAAACCCTAAACCCTAAACCCTAAACCCCAAACCCTAAACCCTAAACCCCAAACCCTAAACCCTAAGTTCTTCACCCTGAAAGCACGCAAGGTGAGCCTGGCGGCCAGAGCGCCGGCAACAACTGCGGCGGCAGCCCCCGCTGTTGTTGAGTTCCGGAGGCCTGTTGAGGGGGTTTGGGGTTTCGATCGTAGGGTTTAGGGTTTAGGGCTAGGGTTTAGGGTTTAGGGTTTAGGGTTTAGGGTTTAGGGTTTAGGGTTTAGGGTTTAGGGTTTAGGGTTTAGGGTTTAGGGTTTAGGGTTTAGGGTTTAGGGTTTAGGGTTTAGGTTTAGGACCCCTAGATGGGGGTAGCTAGTTGGCGGACCTGGTTCCAGGCTTCCCGGGTTTCGGGTTGAGGGCAGAAGGCTTTAGGCGTTAACCCGAAACCCGAACCCTGAACCTAAACCCTAAACCCTAATCCTAAACCCTAAACCCTAGTCCTAAACCCTAAACCCTTAAGGGCTTGGGGGGCTTTAGCTGCTTAGTGTCTAGGGGGTTGCTTGCTCACCACGCCCGGGCGAGGGAGCCTCTTGGCCGGAAACCCTAAACCCTAAACACTCTTTTTTTCCGGACTGGCGCCACTTAAGCCTTGGCATAGTCCGCCACCATGAACTTTGGTAGCCTAAGCCCGACGTCCCTAAGCCCAAAAAATTCTATAAACCCCAAGACGTAGCCCTAAACCCTAAACCCTAAACCCTAATGTTAGAGTCGCTTTAATAACCCCCCCCCCCCCCCAAATCTTGTTTTGGTCCCCGGGGTTTGGAGGGGTGGAAAAAAAGAGGGGGTGTCAATTATGAGGATTCTGGGGGTCTGGGGTCTGGGGGTCTGGGGGGGGTCAGCTGTCAGGGTCTGCTTTGCTTTTTTCAGTAAAATTTTCAATTCCTGGCCAGAGAAATTTTACAATTGCCACCCCATTCTTATCATCACCGGACCCCCCTATATAGACTTGTTTACATACATCGGCCCGAAAACCTCCCGTAATGGAAAGTAGTCTTCGGCTGGGGCCCTCTGGCCTGGCGAATATTACTATTGCCACCCCAATTAAAAAAGCCACTCTCACATTAGACCTCTCAAACCCTAACACCTGAAACCCTCAACCCCCAGTAGTGCCTCGAGAGGGAGCCTCCTGTGATGCCCGACCGGGTTGCAAGGTAAGCCTGGTAGGGCAAAAAGGCTTTCTTAAGTTGCAGGATTCATAAGGTTTAACAAAACCCTAAACCCGAGACCCTAAACCCTAAACCCTAAACCACAAACCCCCTAAACCCTGAGGTTGTCAGCTTTAAGGTCTTAGGTTATAGGATTTGGGTTGAAAGTTTGCGTGTAGGGTTCAATTTGCAGGAACAATCACATTTTTCTAGGGCGCTTCTGGTTTAGGGCGGTTGAGGGTTCAGGGTTCAGGGTTTAAGTTGTTCATGGTTTCGGAGGCTTCTTGCGTCTTTCCTGTTGTGCATGTGGGGGCGTCTCTCCCTTTGAAAAACCGCGTAGGTCTGCAGCGGATATGAAACACGCGTGGCAGCACTTCCCTACTTCAGAGCAATGAGCACTTGCCTACTTCTGAGAAAGGACCCAAAAGCACAAACCTCTTCAGCTGTCTTGAAATAGGTTGCCCTATAAGCCCTCTATGAAACCTAACCATGAGAAGGTGCTGAATATCCAACTCTCTCCGACCTAGTAAAGGTTATCTGGGGGTTTAGGCTACCTTCAAAAGTCCCAAGGCATTCAGCCCTAAACCCTAAACCCTAAACCCTAAACCCCAAACCCCAAACCCCAAACCCTCAACCCTGACCGGAGCTTCTCGCGCCTGGCAGCCGGCTGCACTGGTGGCGCTGCCCCGAGGGCAAAGGCCTCCAAGTGGAAAGCGGCGTCGGGTTTAGGGTTTAGGGTTTAGGGGTTAGGGTGTAGGGTTTAGGGTTAGGGGTCTGGTGTTTCGGCTTTAGGGCTGTAAGGGTTTCCGGAAATCTGAGAACTGACAATAGAGTAGGCTATAGCCACGGGATATCCCCCCCCAAAACAGCGATCTCCGAACCCCAACCTCTTCCTGACCAACAGGGTCTATCTGGGGGGTTCCGAATCGTTTAATACCCTAAACCCTAAACCCTAAACCCCAAACCCTAAACCCTAAACCCCAAACCCTAAACCCTGAACCCTCCAGCGGAACTTTGAAAGCGGAGGTGGGGGGGGGCGCTGAACTCAGCCTCAGAAGGGCCACGGGGGACACTCCGAATGTATTTAAACCCCCCTACCCGCTAATTAATACTAACTACCCCCGTATACTACAATAAAGCTATACAGGGGTATATATATATATATTCAATATTAGGGGGTAGGGGTTGTTTTTTTTTTTTTTTTTGGGGGGGGGGGGGGGTTGGGCTTTTTTTTTTTTTTGGGGGGGGGGGGGGGGTAATCCCTGTAAAGCCTTCTCTCTGTGTCTCTCTGTGTCTCTGTCTCTCCCTCTTTCTCTCTCACGAGGGACTCAGTCTTGTACCAAGTCTTGTACCCTACAGGGTTCGCATGACTTAGCCCGAATAAGTCCTTGAAGCAAAGACCCCACGAAGTCAGGAAACTCCCCTACAGGTCTAGGCTTTAGGTGTGTTTTGGGGGATCCTATACTCAATAAAGCCCGAACCTTAAAGGGCCTTCTCTTGACACCCTCCTTTGCCCCATCGCGGCCCTGTAAATCTACACGCGCACCACCGCCCCACGAGACACTCTAAACCCTAAACCCTAAACCCTAAACCCTAAACCTGAAGCCTTTATCCGCAAACGCCCATGCCCTCATCCAACAAGCTACTCCTGGACTCCTGGGATGGGGATCATAATCGATTCGAAGGACCAGGGTCCAGGGTCTAAGGGTCCAACTTTTTGCTTCAAAATGTATCGAGGCTTCTTTAGTAAACCCTAAACCCTAAACCCTAAACCCTAAACCCTAAACCCTAAACCCTAAACCCTAAACCCTAAACCCTAAACCCTAAACCTAAACCCTAAACCCTGAACCCTGAACCCTGAACCCTGAACCCTGAACCCTGAACCCTGAACCCTAACCCTGCCTCTGCCAGGAGAGCCATTTCGAGCGCGCGGAGCTCTAGACAAAGGGGGAAGGACAGCTTTGGCTTCGCGGCGTGCGGAGCTCTGCTTGCTTGAGCAGGATCGGCAGCCGGAGGCCTAAAATTCCAGTCAGACCCCAAGAGTAACCTAGGGAAGCGAAAAGGGTGCCCTTTCTGGGTTAGGGGCTTCTAAGGGAACCGAAACCCTGAAGAAAAAGGGGGAGTAAGGGCATATTCTGGGTCCTAGCCTGAGTAGACCAGTAACCAGATTGTGATAAGGGAGCCAAAAAAAAGGTTTAGAGTTTAGGGTTTAGGGTTTAGGGTTTAGGGTTTAGGGTTTAGGGTTTAGGGTTTAGGGTTTAGGGTTTAGGGTTTAGGTACCACTGGGCTACCAATTTTTAGACCTTGTGCAGGGGTTTAGGGTTTCGGGTTAGCTGGCGCAGGGTTTGGATGGGTGTTGTGCTGCTTGGGGCCGCCTGACGCCCCGGTTTGGGGTTTAGGGTTTTTAGGGTTTTTAGGGTTTAGGGTTTATAGGGTTTAGGGTTTATAGGGTTTAGGGTTTATAGGGTTTAGGGTTTATAGGGTATAGGGTATAGGGTATAGGGTATAGGGTTTAGGGTTTAGGGGAGCTTTTTGGCATCTCTTGGGCTAGTCTCCTCTTGCTCGGTGTGGTGGTGCAGGGAACGCTTCATTCCTAAACCCTAAACCGCAAAGCCTGGACGCAAAGCCTAAACCCTAAACCCTAAACCCTAAACCCTCAACCCTAAACCCTAAACCCTAAACCCTAAACCCTAAACCCTGAACCCTAAACCCTAAACCCTAAACCCAAACCCTAAGCTGCTTCAAGGGTGCGGGGTTGGGGGGTCTAAGGGCTAGGCGGGTTTATACTTAGGCTTCAGCGTGCTGTCAGAAAGGTTGGAGGTTCATGGGCACTTACAACCCCTAACCCCTAAACCCTAAACCCTAAACCCTACACCCTAAACCCTAAACCGGGCTTCTGGGACTTATGGGGCTGATAAGTACAGCTATACGTGGAAGACCTCCTTCCATAGTAAGTCTACTTGTATCCCCTCGAAGACCTCCTAGAATCCCCACAGCCCACCTTGCCAACCCTACTTCTTAATTGCTAAGTCAAAAAGGCTTCCAAGGAATTAGGGTTGAAAGTGCCTAAACCCTGAACCCTAAACCCTGAACCCTATAATTACCCTAGAGACCCTCAACCCTAAGCCCATGAACCTCCAAGCAAGGCACACCTCAATGCGAGCTGCTCACATGGAAAGGGGCAGCACACGAAGCCCGAAAGCCCCAAGCAACATCTTCACTCCCCAAAACGTTAGGGTTTCGGGTTTAAGGTTAGGGTTCAGGGTTGAGGGTTTAGGGTGTAGGGCTATGGGTTTAAGGCTAGGGTTTAGGGTTTAGGGTTTCGGGTTGGGTTCGGCCGGTCCACACTAACAGTCACCACCAGCAGACCCACAAATAAAAGCACCCGGTAAATGCCAAAAAATTGACTGAGATTCCTGCTATTCCTGGTGCTATTCCTGGTGCTATTTCTGGTGCTATTTCTGGTGCATGTGCTATTCCTGGTGCTATTTCTGGTGCTATTTTTTGTGCTATTGTTTGTGCTATTGTTTATGCTGGTGCTATTTCTGGTGCTGTTGCTGGTGCTATGTGACTAACAATCACCATCAGCAGACCCACAAAAAACAGCACCCGGTAAATGCTAAGCTGATAAAATTGACTGGCGTTCCTGGTGCTATTTCTGGTGCTTTTGTTTGTGCTATTTCTGGTGCTATATTTTGTGCTATTGTTTGTGCTATTTCTGGTGCTATTTTTTGTGCTGTTGTTTGTGCTATTTCTGGTGCTATTTCTGGTGCTGTTGCTGGTGCTATGTGACTAACAGTCACCACCAGCAGACCCACAAAAATAAGCACCCGGTAAATGCTAAAATTGACTGGGATTCCTGGTGCTATTTTTGGCCTGTGTGTTATAAGGCCACGGCGTTATTTGACTGTTAGTGTGGACCGGCCGAACCCAAGTTTCGGGTTTAGGACCCCAGAAACCTGAAACCCTGAGCCCTGAACACAAAAATCACTGGTCAACCGCAAACCATACAATCAGGAAAGAAGGATTTAGGGAGTAGGGTGTAGGGAGTAGGGAGTAGGGTTTAGGGTTTAGGGTTTAGGGTTTGGGGATCCAGGGCCGCTCTACCTGTATGCAAACCCGACATGATGTAAACCCCCTAACCCTGAGCCCTAAGACGTAACATAGGGGCCTTAATAACTAGGGTTTGGGGTTTAGGGTTTAGGGTATAGGGCTTGGGGTTCGGGGTTTAGGGTAGGGTTTTGGGGGTTTAGGGTTTAGGTTTAGGGGCGTCAGTAACTACCACGGGCTTTGGGGGTTATTATAGTAGATTTACAAAGGGGCCATAAGGGAATACTATTAGCAATTCTTCCGACCTCTATAGTACCCCTGAAAGAACTCAAGGATCCAGATTATGGAGGAACTCGGTGCTCCGGCCGCAAATTGAAGCGTACCTTCAGCTTGCTTTGGTCTTCTCAGGTGGTGCATTCCCGTACAGGGTCACCCACGCAACACAGGCCTCCTAAACGGGTGGAGTTTTTTTTTGGGTCTTGTTTTTTTTTTG